GAAGCAGATCACTGACAGGGAGAGCTTACTATTAAATACCCTTACCAGCTACAATAACATCAAACTCATTATAGTGGATAAGCACTGTTTATCTACTACACTAATGTTTCAAGTAGCTAATTTGCAATTTTAAGTAACACATTTGAGCAAGTTCAAAATACTGTTGGCTTTCACAATATGTAGACCAACTGACTCTCTCTTAGTCTGTAAGATCAGAGTTCGCTGTGTGAACAGCACGTAATTTCCTGCACAGTGTTTAAGCAAAATACTTTGATAATTTTGATATGGATACAGAACAAAACACAACAATGGAAGGACGAAACACAGTCATTTTTTTACTCTTATTGTAAGTTCAACAGCAAGAAGAACCATCTGGATGGTGAAGATAGGTGGTGTAAAGGATATGGGAGAAGTGTAAATACCATGAAGAGAGGATAATCTACAGTGCCAGAATGAGTGAATGCGCCATGTATGCTCAGGAAAGTACAACACCACACTGACACCTGGGAGGCAGAACATGAAAGCTGTGCTGTACATGTAATAGCAACCTTGTCAGAAGTGGAGAAGGTGGCGCCGACCCTCCGGGTGCTAGGTGATGTACAGAGCATAAGGGTCTGATACTAGAGTGCTCACTCGACCTTGAGCGAGCATGATGCTTTCCCCTAATGACTGGCTGTTCAGTTGTTCGTGGGGCTGGAAGTCCCCTTCTAGAAAGACATGGTGGCAGACCCCTAAAACATCAGGGCCAAAAAGAAACTGTTCAGTTGTTAGCTCTAGGCACACTTTCCCATGCCCCCCTCCACCAAAGAACATTGCAAATTGTGGTTGTAGGACCAGGGTTGACATTTCAGATTTAAGTTATTAATTCTGAATGCAAATCCATTTTCAAAACGACGAACTGCAGAACACTCACCACTGCAGATACACATGACCCTAATTCTGGAACTGTTGAACTGCATTCCATATAGTGGACAGTTGGCCAAAAAATCTAGCTGCATCTTAAACACAGCAAACACAAGCTAACAACACATATGACATAAGTACTAGCACAGAGTAGGTTATGAATACCTAGTTTTACCACAAAGCATTTATGTCTCTAAAACATACCTTTTATCTTTATTAAAAATATTAACTGGATTTCAATTAGTGCCCTAAAAAAGGACAATGTGTAAGCACATATATGAAATTCTCTTGGTTTCCTTAGTAGTTTGAAATCAGGAATCTATTTATCTTTCTGTTGTAAGCCCTAAAACAGAAATACAGTTCTGAAGGAACTCTAATGAAAATTATAATTAAAATATGCAGTAAAATAATTAATCATGTTAGTATAATAAAGCATAATTATTAGTAGTTTAATAATTGCATACACTGCAACTATAAGATAAACTGAAACATTTAAAGTTTGGAAAGTGACAAAATAATCCAACTGTGCCTTTTTATACTTCCTTGGTTTCCCAACAGTGCAGCATTTTGTAAATGGTACTACTGTATCTGCTGTAATTCCATTATTTCAGAAATTTCAGTTCCCTGTGATATCACTTCATTGTGAGTTTTTTTTTGTTTGTGGTTTTGTTTTGGTTTTGTTTCTCTGTTTTGTTTTGTTTTTTAATTTCTGCAGACTTACAAAGTCTGCCTTCAAACACCCAGCACTACTTTCCCACAAGATACAGTCAAAGTAACTAAAGGACTGTCTAGTTCATATGACTATCATATACTGAAAAGTCATCCTAAAAAAACAAGTATCTGTGAGGTAACATGCAGATGCCCACCGGGGGTAAGAAATGGGTTTGGTTTCAAAGTCATTTCATCAGTAACAGTTTATGAGGAAGTCCAGGCACAATGCAACAAAACCAGGATTCTGTTGCCCCTGCTATATTCCCTCTCTTAAACCCTAACCCTTCTTTAGCTCAACTCCTGGCTTGCCCTGGTGATAACCGTAACATTCTTGCAGAGACTGACTCCCCTGATTCTAAGAGATGCTTATGATAACAGAAATGAGTTCTGAAAATGCCTGTTTCTCCACGCTGACTGTAAAAGTAATCCATGCCAACTGTTTCATGCAATGAACTTTGAAGTACCTGGTTTATCAGATGGTTAAACATCATATCATCCATAAGGTAAATATGGATTCCACTCTGCGCCAGAAAAGTGCTGGCTTGCTTTTACTATGAAGGAATGCTCCAGTCTTACAAAGTGATCATGTTTTCAGTTCTGATTTTTCTCATTTTGGAAGCTAAATACCCTGGAATTTATGTGAGAGCCCAGTGAAGCAGTAGGAGAGTCTGTTCTGCCATTACAGAACAGACACTTTACCTGAGACTCAGAAACTTACCTCTTGCTCTTTCAGTAATACCCTTTTTACAGACCTGTCCCCTTCCACTAGAGAAAGAGAGGATCTGCTTAACTAAAATAAAGACAAATTAGGCTTAAGACTTGCATTAGCTGGGGTATTACATTGAGATGAATATACTACTTGGGGTGCAAATGAAGAATAAAGCTAAGAGGGAACTGGAGAAAAACTAGAGTGAATTTAAGGACTTGCTGGCCTAGAAGAAAGATCAGTTGCTGAAAGAAAGTCGTCTGCAAGTGGTTCATCAGGAGAATGAGACAAATAGGACCGAGCATAGGAAACCAAAGCTGGTGTATGACCGAGGAAATGAGACAGAAATGAGATGGGTATGGAGAGAAGAGGAATCTGGGAGAGAAATGATGCCTAGTAAGCAGTGAGACTACAACAAGCACATACGTGTGTATCTCATCTCCTGGTTCCTCTCTGCAAACAGCAAGCCTATTAATTCAACTGGCAATGGTTTGCAGGGGAATCCTGCAGGTTCTAGCTCTGCCTGCACACAAGAAAATTCAAAATCCTTTCTCTTCAGACTGATGCCTCAGTGACATATTTTAAATAAAACATGCTGCCACTTATAGAACTATGAATTGAAACTAAGAATAAGAGAGCATCGCCAATCCAGCATACCCCTGGCCCAGGGTCCTGTGTAAAATACAGCAAGTACAGTTAAAGACTGAAGGTATCACAACATATATGACAGATGACCACAAATCTGGTATTTCTGGGCTGAGCAGTTAGGGCTGAAAGAAAACATTTTAGGATTGGGATGAACCAATATTTACTACAGCTCTTCTCATTCACACAAGCACAGAAAAAGTTGGATTTTCATGTAGTTTTACTCCTTCAGAAGAGTTTACTGAATCCAGTCTTGAAGGCTTATCTCATCCAATTATCAAAGGAACTCTTAGGCTCTGTAAACTATCCTGAAAAGGTTTGCTTTCTCCCTTTTATGTACATTTCCTAAACTATCACAATACATAGAGAACTTAATCTTGCATAGCATGTGGAAAGGCTTTATAGAGAAGCTGATAGCATTGCAGGTATCTTATTCCAGTAATCTGTTTAGCTAATAGTAGACAAGATCTGCAAACTGCAAAATAAAGACTAAATCTAAACCAGATATTTGAGAAAGAAATAGTCTTGAGTTATATTTGCCATTTGACAAGAAAGTTAATCGCGTGTCCTATTACCAAAACTTTCTGACACTAGTGCAATATTAAATCTATGATGCAATACTACACTACAGCACTCAGACTTACTTAGACATTTGCATCCCACATCTAATAGCAATGAATCAACTTATGGAAACAGGAACCTACACCATGTGCCACAGAGATGTAAAGAGAAGAAGCACAATTCATGTGTCCCTATGCTCGTGTTGCACTGGGTTCATCACTCTTCAGATCATTAGAAATCAGAGCTGACTTTTCCAGAAAGTAAAAATGTAGCTATGGGGACTTACACTTTTGGTAACTGCTTAACTTTGGGGGTAGAAAAACTCAGATTTTTTTTTTTTTTTTTAATTTTCCTAAACACCTGTTGAAAGCAATTTCACATTGCTTTAAAAAACAAAAAAACCCACTCAAAATCCCCCAATTCCCCTCTCACCCCCCAAACCAACAACACCCTCCCCTCCCCACCATACGCTAGCACTAAGTACTGACTACAACTATTACCATATCAATGCCAAATTTATCTCAGCACAGCAATGACTGAAGTATCAACTTCCAATACATTAAATCCCATATAAATTTTGTATATAGACACTGTAGCAATATTTCACACTGGCCTCCAGACTCGCACTTTCACATATACCTAAATAAATCCTCAATTGTACACTATGAAAAAAAAAAAAAGTTTTGAATTATCCAGAGGAAAAGAAAATCTCAGAATTTCAGACCTGGGCTGGTCATTTCAAGCAGAGAAACACATTGTCCAAGCCTCAAAAAGGCCTCTTCTTCATAAATATAACTACATGCTTATCCTTAGAAATGGAGTCCACGTTCTACTGATACATTCAACTTAACAACTCATAATCAGTCCCTGCAAATTAGTTCCTATATCACCTGCCACATCTGAAATTCTAAGTATTTCAGGATTATGATTTACACCTTCCATATACTGAAATTAGCATAAAACACTAATTAGTGTAAACAGGATTTATTGAGGTATATGTTTTTGATCTATGAAGTTATCTTAACATCAGTAGAAGAAAGATGCCCCCAGTTCACACACTGAAACATCAGGTTTGAAATGTAAACACATAGATACACTGATTTGTCCAATTGCAAGTGTTGTGGGATTTCCTTTTATACTCTGACTGTGTCTCTCACTCCCTTGGCTCTGCCCTTTCGCCAATAGAATCTCTTTTATTTCCTTTTCCTTCCTTATCCTTTCTGTTGCCACACTTTCTAGTTATGTTTATGTCCTCATTTTTTCCTCTCTCATTTACTTCATATCACTTTCCTACCTTATCTTCCTTCTCAGATTTGTTCCAAGCTTTCTAATCATATAGTCTGAATGGTAATAAAGAACTCTGAGCCCCTTGGACCTCAGTTCCAGTGGCTCCTCTTACTCTTCAGAAGTTAAAAAAAAATGGGGCAAAAAATGGCTTTAGAAATCTCAATAGCAAAACTCTCCCTGGTTTAAACGCAGCAAGGATTTCAGCCATCATGTAGGTAATTTCTGAGGTCTAAGATGAGAAACAACTGGGCTTCTGTGACAACACAATCATCAAAACCAAGAAAAATGTAACCATTGCCTTTGGATCAGGAAGGATAATTTGTCACTTGAAGCAGTGAAATAAAATAAAAGCTCTGAAGTTTTGCTACATAATGTGCATTTTCATTGAAAATAAAAATCTGTGTTGTGTATTGTTCACGGAAGTTTTTTAACCCTCAGAATGTAAACAGAGGTACATTGCTCCTCCACTAATCAAGATCACATAAATCTGTTTCTGACAAAGGCAGGATCTCATCCCTCCTCACTGCTCTTATTACAGCTAATACACGGGGTATAAAACCTAACTAGATGTACTTACGATTTGGTATATTTTTTTTTTACTGTTTCTTAAGAGTTTGAATACATAACCCTATGCTACTGTACCATAAAAGCTAGAAGTTACAATGATATAGCTACAAGTACAGGAAAATCAAATTTAAATTAAGGTTAAAGTCCCAGTGTTTATATTAACTTTATGTAATGATAGATTATAAAATTTTCTATACATATTTAAATGTGTAACTTAGCATGTTTACATTATAAATGAAATTAATTTGATCAGAGACATCCTGAATTATTAATCTGTTAATATATTTTTCTCATCCTCAAAATTATTGTAAAATAGACAAGATCTTTCAAAAAAGATTAGTGGTAAAGCACAGAAAATGCTAAGCATTTATAAATTTCATCTTAAAGAGATCAAGATACTGGCAACAGGTCTCAGATTTTGGCTCATGAAATATAGGGACTGATAGTCTTTACCATTGGGATTTCCTGCAATGATGGAGAATGACAGAAAAATTCTGTATGTACACAACACAGCAAGCAGTGCTAATAACAGTGATACAAAGTAAATAATACTATAAATTACAACAACATAGCTTTTGGTACTGTCACAGATTTTCTACTTTAAAAGTCATATGAGAGATATATTCCAAGCACTGGAATCAGATTGATTACAAGAGATGTTCACTCATCAACCAGCAATCCTACCTTTCTGTTTCAGTTGCGGCGCCTTTCCTAGTTTGTTTTTGGCTGCTATATCTTTCCACTTTTCTGGACTGCCTGTGAAATGACATGTCAGAAAAGAAATAAACAAAGAAGAAAAAGAATACAAAAATATGAAGATTATATATTTATTAGTGTATTATAAAGCTAATAACAGAAATGGTTGACAGATGAAAAAGTGACAATTATCTGCATGAACAGGCTGGTGATTTGAGGTTTAAGACACGTGGCCCTGATTAGGTTTCATTGATGATGGTGTGAAAGTTATGAGGTACCAAAACAGGGGAGATGATAACATCAGTCTTGACTGAATGGTGCAGCTCCTTCCTGCTTCACATTTGTATGTGATAAGAAACAATGCCTCCTCAGAGGCCTTTGAGTCCTCTCTTGACAGAATAAAAAACAAATGCAGAGTAGACAGCAGGAAAAAAATTGTTACAGAAAGGACCAGAAAATGCTATTCAAATGTAAACTTTAAAAAAGGCTTTTAAACCTAAATTTCAAAAGCAAACCAAATACTACATCATATCAGATTTAAAGAATGCTGTCACTATATCAGTATAAACTTAGCTTTTCTAAAATTTCACTGTATTAAAACTTGTTAAAGTTTTTGAGATCAGTTTAAAACAATTCTATTTTTTCTAGTCAATATAAATAAGTTAGAAGTTTATTTCATTCCTTCACTTCTTTCCCAGATAAATCTTCTATAGAATTCCACCTGACATTTGGATAGTGAGGCACTAGTTACCTCTGACAATCTAAGCATTTGCTCTGATAGTAAATAAGAACAATGAATAGTAACATAAGTCAATAAATATAAGAACAAAGGTAAATCATGTTTCACCATTACAACCCAGGACTATAAATATACTAAAAAACTCTGCAAGTCTTGTGTGTTCCAAAATTTCCATTACTATCCATAGTAATGTGAGCATTTACAAATTGGGATTTACAATTTTAAATCTCCGATAATCATAAATATATATTAGTTTCTTAGAATAAAAAGTACATACAGCATTTCAGAAGTGGTCAAAACTGGGGAGTGATGATTATTCATTGATAGACTAGAATTGTTAACAAAACCTAACTTGCATCTTCCATTGGTGCAAAAAATATGTATAGGAACTTGCAATGATATAATCAATGTCATATATTAAGCTATAAAAGAATTACTGTGGGCAAAGCAAATAGATAAAAATAGTATTTAAAAATATATATTTTCCTTTTAAACCTTTGTGGTTATAAACAGTAATCCAGTGTCTGAACCTAAACAGCTGTAACATCAAATTATACCCAAAGAATATAATCACGGTGGATTTTCATAATCTGTACCCACTGCAATATTTGATAAGCATTATATTGTGACGCAGTATGCTTCACAACAAAGAAAATACTGCAGCAAAATACAAAACACTTATTGCATGAGCAGAGCTCACTCATTACCTGATGCTTTCTGGGTTTTAAAATAATATATTTTCTTGCCAAAAAATAATATCTCAGATTAAAAATTAAAATCCCTTTTGTCCTCAAACTATTTTCTCCAGATTTATTTTTTGTATATTCTCATTACCTTTAATTCTTTTTCTTTATCATGACAAATACAAGGTGGATACACAGGGAAACACATATTAAATGCTGCAGCTTTACTTAAAACCTAAGGTTAGCAAAGTATTTAAAGTCACATTTAGATCCACTGAATGCAGCAGCATTATCACTCAAATGATATCAGCCTCTTTGTTTGGTTGGTGATGGGGTGTATTTTCCTCTTACTCCTTATATCACTTGCTTAGACTGTGACATTACGTGTGATGGAGAAAAAGAGCACACAGTGACTACTCTTTGTGGGATGTGGAAGCTGAGATTAGAACATGCTTTCCAGTGAAAAGTGACAAAGTCATATATAGCACCAGTGAGCTAAATATACTTATGTCTCTGCTCTCTGTGCTGCCTTTGTGAGCAGCAGACATTAGAAATATGTTTAAAATGACAATTTCCTTTCTGTTTCCTTCCTCTTGCTAAGATGATGCTGTATACAATTCCTATGTGGCTCAACAGCCTACCCACAGCACTTGCAGTCCTGGCTGAGCTTGAGCACAGTGTGAGCATTGGCAGGTACAAATTTACAGGTAGGTGTCCTTCCATGCCCATGTATGATGCATGAAGAGTGCACTGGGGGTAAGAACACTTTTGTCACACTCAAATTTACCTCTGAAATGTACTTTATGGAGGATTAAATATTATCTATGAACAACACATGCATAAATGTACTCATACATAAAAAGAGGGAAAAAAAGTGAAAGTATTATGCAGAGTATATCAAGAATATACTATAACCAGTATCTCATTAACTTGGAACTATGATTTGAGTAAATAAGGATACCTCTGTGCTGCTCCAGGTTTAGCACTTAGGTGGTCTACACTGTCCTGTTTTGGAATGCAAGACTCCAGCGTCCTTGTTCTTCACAAAATTTGGAAACATGGATGTGAATTTGGACAAAATGAGCAGAAACAGAGAGATGGTCACATGCAGTGAAGGTGGAGACATGCAGTCAAATATATAAACCAAAAGCATTAAGGCACTATCTGCTGAGAAAAGCTGTATTTCTTATTTAACCTTCCGTTGATTTAATCCATACACTTTAAGGAAACATTAAAATTTTTAGACATAGTATCAACAGTCTAAGATGCAATAAAGTAAAGAATGGAAGCCACAACAATATTTTTAAAAATCTTTATACTCTACATGCTGAACGGCAGCACTGTGGCTTAACAGTTGCCATTATCCTTTTCAAAAATTAATCTGCAGTATTGTTGATTAGATTAATATATAAACCTGTATAGAACACCTTCCCTTAGGAATTTTAAAACTGTGTATTTTGTGTCATTATATGGTGAAATTCTCCTGCAAATGCAAGTCAATTCCATAATTTCATATATTTTGATGGAAACTTCATGTTCTGTTGCCAACCTGTCTGCTACAGTAATAATTAACAACTCAATAGCCAAGTACAATAACTGTATCAGCTTTTTTTAAAAAAAAATAAGTTCAGAATATTTCTTAATTTCTGTATTATTTTCATTTCTGCTGAATCTGTTTAAGAACCTCAGAATTTGTTCATGGCTTTCCATTTGACAGAAATATTATTAGCTTGTTGGTTTATTATTAGTTTTTTATGGAATATATGGTAAAAACACTTTTTTCATGATAAAAGTTTATCAGTGTATGATTATTTTTTTTCAAATACCACATTTCACTTTTAATGAAAAAACTCAGCAAAATTTGCAGTCTACTAATGATCTAAGCTATGTAATAAACTTGCATCTGTACCCTCATCATGGTAAGGAAATGCTAAAATTTATCTTTAAGGTCATAAATCTATCAACTGTCACACCAAATCACTGATCAGTAAGGTCTTGTTACATATATAGACAAGCACTATATATTACTTTATACACAGACTATTCACAGTCCATGTTCCAAAGACTCATGTGCCTCAAAATATTTATCACTGTTGAGTGTAAACAAAAGCTACACACAGAAATATTATAATATACCTATTAAAATTAAAAATTACTATTCCTAAAGTGAAAAAAATATCATTTTTATAAAAGTCAGTATCTAATACTTAAATTGATTTATTACTGTCTTGTACAAGAGACCTCAGTCGTTTGCAGTAAGTCTGTTCATTTGTGTAGCCTCAAAGCCATCAAGAATGTCATGTTCAATACTTCCTGATTTTTCCTGAAGACTTCTGAAAGACTGGATCTACATGGCATGTGAGCTGGGAGGTCACAACTACTCTGAAGGCTTGGTAGCTCCTCACGCTCATTCCTAACATTTCAATTCATGTCTTGCAAAAATGCCTCCCTGATCAAGCCACAGAGTGTTGCTGGAAAGACAGGAAAGGATCGTCCAGGTTGAATCATTCTGCTGCTGGCAGAGCATGGAACACCTCAAGTTCTCTTTGTGAAAGTACCAGAAGGGTACTTGCTCTACAGTTGGCTTCAGGATGACTCTAGGACAAGCATTCTTACAGATGCATGCATGACTGACAAAAGCTACTTCTCTTAACTGAAAGCATATGACATTTAATTTTTTAAAAGGCTTATTTTATTCAGTCTTGTTTTTATGCTGAAATTATATATAGTCTCCTCAAAAAGAACAGTCTGAATAAAATTCCCATCTACCATTAAATGCTCAACTTTCATTTCCCTTGTTTTTATTATCAAGTACAATGCAACAATTTTGCATTCTCCAGTTACCAAAAAGTTTTCAACTTTAGATAGACTTTCTAATTATCATTTCCAATACAAAACCCACAAAACCTCCCAGCAATGATGCTATTAAATAAAAACTAAAAACTATTCTTTAAAATGTCTTAAAGAAATACATGATACTAAGCAAACACTTGTTAATTCTTAACACTGAAATAACATATAACCCATGTCTTCATCTTGTGGAGATACATCAAGGAGTCCCTTTTTCTGATATGGTAAGCGAACAAATTCTAGAATAACAACAATCCTGCCACGATCTTTACTAAAATTTATGTTATGAAATAATATCAATAAATACAATATTGCAAAATCTTAAATGATCAAAATTAGAAATAATGCGTGTCATATGTTTAAGAAATGTATTCAGAAACAGATTTTGATTGCACCCTATATGCAAATTAGGCCAATTTGGAAGATAAATCTGGAATGTACTTGAATAAAGAGTAAAATGACACCTGTCACAGTCAATTAATCTGTGAAAATACAATTTGAAAGCAGTGATAAGCAGTTAGTTACCCCTGCTGATCCATCAGACACTCATTCCCTGACACACACTGCATCAGTTGTCAAATTGGTACAAGCACATCTTTAAAAAGCCATAAGTTATAGAACTAAGTGGTGTTGGGTAACCACCAAAGCTACAGGAAATAATCAGAAAGAATGTGAACTTGGCCATGCAATGCAAAGAGCCCAAGATTCTCTGAACTTCTCTCAATCTGGGAGAAAGATCCTGGAACTGTGAGGCTGCAACCAGTCACCAGGATTGGGGTTAGTCTGAACTCCTTGTAGGCTCATCACTGGCTGCATGACTGGGATTTGGTGACCAGATCACCTACAAGACCTCCAAGAACAAGGTGGCACTGATTTCACTATGAAAATTAGACTGCTGTTTCTCCAACTCAAATTCTTTCCCATAATAGATACTATATCCTGCAGATGCTTTACTGTACTGTGTTTGCTAACAGGTATTAGATGATTGCACTCTCTCCACAAAACTTTGCCTGACATCAAAAGGCTTATAATCCTGCATTAAAGATGGCAGTATTTAGATGAAAACCTCGTATCACTGATATGTGATACGATTATGATTTAATTCCAGTCACTCAACGACAAGATTTTAACAAATCTGATCCACTCAAGTCAAAGACAGTCTTTCCATTGCCTTGAAAAATGGGAAGTGAAATTACTTAAAATGCCTACAAAGTTCATTTGTAAACTATGAATAGCTGTCCCATCAAAGGGATGTGTTGGCAGAATTTCCAGAAATGCAGTATCTGTAAGGAGGGACAATTTTGAAATAAAGTTTCAGAAATTTAATAATTTCCAATTCCGCTTTACTCAAATAAAACAAAGTGCTATCCAACCACAATTACACTCTAACCACCTTGTATTAGTAGAATACATCCAGTATCAAGCAAACGTGACAAATTCCAGTACAAATATGTCTTCTGGATAGACTTTAGCAGAAGGTAAGCACTAGCACTACAGTAACTGAGTTTTATCCATACACCAGTCTTACAGTGCAACTTCATAAGGGTTTACACATGTATGAATTTACATGAACCATTTGTATCCTGTCATCTACTGCACACAAAAAATTTGAAGCGAAAATTTTGAATTTGCATCTCAATAGAAATTATAATATCTGCTTAAAAGTGCTCCAGATCTATCTGGGGAAAAAAAAAAACCCAAAAAACCCAACACAACAAAAAATTTATACTGTCAAAGTAACAGAAAACCAAAGCTTATTTGAGTAGAAAGTTCATTATATGAAAAAAAACACAGGTGCTTTTATTAATCATAGGTAGTATTTAGTATAAAAAATTATTTAAAGCACTAGGGTTTTTAACCAAAACCTACCTTGTTAGGAAAACCTGCTCCATGGAAACCATCCCGATTTAGGACAGAATTTACGAACAGTGCCAATTTTTACATACATAGCAAGTGTTACCAAGACTTCCCACATATTAGTTTGTGGGCTTTTTTTCCCCCTTAGGAACAGTTTATTGAGGAAAGAAAAAAACCCAGTAAAAATGAAAATAAACATCTAGACAAGGAACAGGCTCTGAAACAAATATTTATCATATTATAAAGCACCACAGTGAGAACACCACCAACATTTACAGAAGCACATAGAAACAGACTAAAGAACATTAACACAGATGATGTTCTGTTGTATTAAATGTTATTTCACAGATTGTGACCATCCAGGCAAACAGAAAACTTGAAGAGACATTAATTCTCTGGTGCTTTATAACAGTTCAACAAAATGCAGAGATGATATCTAAGCTGCTGTTTTATTTTGGGCTTCTGGAGGTTGTAAGTTTCTCTCTCTATATATACATGCATACTTTTAAATTTCAGTATACTCCTCTAAGAGTGCAAGATGCAGTAAGCCACTTTTCAACTCGGAGGAGTTGACTAGTACCTGTCATCCTCCGGAGATGCATGCTGGATATGAATCCTGGGACTAGTAGGTCGTCTCCTCTCTAGGGAGGGGGACCATCTACCCCTGTTTGCCCGTTCAACAAAACAGGAAAAAAATAGGATATTTAGTTTGTCATATAATTAAATATATGGGATTTGGGACTGGAAAAATACCCCAAAAAGTAATGAAAGTGTGTCATTTAATTATTTTTTCTAGGAGTTTTCTAATTTTCAAGGATACTATTCTTATGGCTGCTTACTGCAGAAACATTACAGCTGAAGTAGAGAGAATGTATGCCCAAAGTTGCAGAATTTAGACTAATACAAATGTTTTACATAGCATGCCATTAAGTTTGCAATTATTCTCAAACGCTAGACTGTCAAAAGCCTGTCATTCACATAGAAAGTTGTCATTCTATACTAGGAGAGCTTTTCAAAGACCATGTGACATTCACTTTCTGTCAACTACTGGCTAGTACTTTAAGCCCATCTCTCCTAGCTCTTGGCACAGAAAAATATAATCTCAGTAAAAATGTAGGACTATGAACTATAAAAAAAATTCTAAGGCATAAAATGACCCTTTTCTGGAAGGTAATGAAAGAGTAAGGGTAAATTAGCTACAACTAAGCTACACACATTTGTGTACAAGTACTGGGTTGGGGTTTTTTTTCATTTAAAAATATATACTGAAAGTGTGTGCAGCCAGCTTTGTCTTCCATTCATTTGTCTGTATCCCTGCAGTAAAGGCCAGTAGATTATTCTATATAATTAAATTTAACAAAAAAGACCTGAATTGAGAATGAAAGCTGGTGTCTCACATTATTTTCTTCTTGAAAAAAAAAAAATTAATTTAGAATTACATATACTATACTAAAGACTAGTGTTGCTTATTTTGTTGGATGTGATGTGGTTATAAAGTGCAAGTGTGTATGTATAACAACTTACAAAATCAAAATATAGTGATTAATTTACAAACAGCAAGATGTTTACACAAGCTGCATGACTATCTAATATTTCACTTTCTGAGGCATCCTTCCAGTCCATGTAATAAGGAAAAGGGTTTAATTTATGGAACATGCAAATAACAAAAGTTTCAAGGAGATTAGCATCACTTGAACAGTTAGATAGATATTTCAGAAGTTTCAAGAGGAAACAGGTTGTTAGTAGTAAGTTTCTTTCTCTCTCCAAAGCAAGAGTTAAAGAAAATGTTAATGCATCAGTGCACTCAGGCAAAGCCCTTAATATGCTGATATCCAGTACAAATATTAAACAGCATTTGATAGAATTAATTAGGTCATGCAGTATGAACTTTGAGAACATGCTGCCTTTCACTGAATATTGAATGACCATGAGCCACAGTACAATGCAGACAAACATGCAATAACCTATTCCTTTACATGGTTGAAAAGAATGAGAAACAAAATACATTGCATACTTAATGCAAAGAGTTGTTTTACTGTATGTTATTTTAAATGTAAATGGTGATATTCAACATAACTGTTAAAGGCATGCAATATAAACTCCTAATACTTCAGACGTATTAAAAAACCTTGGAAAAATCAACATGAAATCAGGACAGGTCTTAATTGTATCAAGTGACAGTTCCAATTTCTCTGTTATCTATTTATGAGCAGGTAACAGGTAACAGTTGAGCTTTGTATCTTGTTTAGGTGGTAGTGACTAGCTGATAGCAAACATCCGGAAGATCTTTGAAATGTTTTGATTCCTACTGCAGCAAAGTACCTCAGAACAAACTTAACACAGCTGCTGGGCTGCATTTTGCAGATACGCTGACCCTGTTGCACATGAACTAATTCCTGAGCCATGCCCCTTGGTTTTATTTGCTCAGATCTCCATTAACTAACCTCTCAGGACCAAAGCATACAAGTAGTACCAGTCCAAACACTGCTCTTGCACTAGTTGCTAATACAGACAACAACTGTTTGCAATACAAGAAACTTAAATGGTAAATAAGAGCCACACTATGTATTATTAAGTAACTACCACTGTCTGCAATCCTATATCAAGCTGGGGAAGATGCTATTATGATAAGGAACCACTGCTGAATCAGTGATACTGTACTTAAATCCCATGCCTACATGCTTTCCTGACTGGAGCCTGGGGGTCACAAACAAACTTCTCCCTTCTTAAGAAATTGTATCCAATTTACAAGAAAAAAAAAGCAGAAATTTTGAGACACAGTGAAAAGGACAACAAAAAAATCATGCTAGAGGAAGTAGCAGAAGCAAAAACATATTCAACGGCATTAGAGGACATTTATGATTATACTATAAATTAACATATGCCTTGAAGTTCATCACAGGAACTTCAACAAGACAATCATTTTGGAAAAAAACAAAAATAAAAAACCAGCTTGGAATAAATAGGAGAAGGGGGAAAAAAAGGAAAGGAAAAGGTAGGCATGGTGCAACTGTATAGATGTATTACCAGGGGCTGGATACTTTTGAGTATCCTAGGGTATACTATGCCCAAGAGAAATATATGAAAGATTAAGTCCTGTACCAAAACATTCCATTTACCAAAGTCTTTGGCAGATCTGTGTCAAGGCAAAGTCAGTTTGCCAGTCAAGTTATACAGACTTTCCTTGCTCAAGTGATGAAGCTTAGAGCAGGAGAAAAGGAATGTCTTTTATTTCTGTTATTTTGCTTTTGTTTTAGCACAGCTAACAAGATTTATATAACCCAAATTCATATGGAATGAAAGTATTTTTCTGCTGACATATGTGGGTCAATAAAATGACTTCTAGTGGCAAAACAGCATCTTAAAAAAACAGTAACTACTCCAACCATTCCCAACGACATTAATGATGTTATATAAAGTTTAAGGATCAAAACCATTTCCAACAAATCATTGACACAGAGAAATAGGGCTCTACTGTCCATCAGTTACTCATAGTCAATACCATTTTGTTTAAAAAGCTCAAGTGGACTATTTTAACTCTTGATCTCAAATACAATCTAATTTATACCCTCTGAGACAAAAAGTTAGGGGGAAAAAGTAGAAATAATTTTCCATAGTTGAGTATACTAATAATTTTTGTTAAAGAAAATACACAATGCCACATTTAGAAGTCTATTGTTATATTTTGAGGACTAAAAGTCTAAATTTTTAAATAAAATCTACAATTCCATTCAGGAGGTGGAGAGGAAATGCCATGAAAGCAACTAGCAATACCTTCAGCATAGGTCCCTCAAATATAATAATAATAAAACGGTGCTGTCTAGATTGGACTTCACAAAACCATACAGTGTTTCTTTTTGCTACAAGCAGAACCAACTCTAAACCTGACAGATGTTTGTCTAATCTCTTGTTAGACAGCCTCCAGTAATGAAGTCAAGACAAACTTTTCCATATTATCTACTGAAGTGTTTCATTATACTTGCTTTCATAAGAGCTTTCCTACTTTTTAAGAGGAATCTATCTTACTGTATTTTAAAACTCCCTTCTTCTTGCCTTGTCCAGCACAGAAACAAAATGCTTTCTACATACTTTGAACTTAATTCTGTGTTCTTCAGACTACAGACTCCTCTATCATTACACGCAACTGTTCACTAACCTCATGTTAAAGTATAAGCAGATACATTCAACAGTGGGGAATGAAATCTAAAATTAGCTTCCCCCTCAAAAAAAAAAAAAAAGATGTTTTTTATACATTAAATATAACATCTTCCTCCAAAAATTGGGCTGTATTGGAAAAGCATCATCTATATCAGAAGAAAAGAAAAAAGAAGCAGGTCCTTAATCCTCTGTCAGAGCCACACAGCTCTCATTATTTTCAACAAAACGATCATTGAAAATTTGAATATGAATTTCCTGAAAAAGAGCTTTTCTGCATCCCTATGAAGGATCCCAAGTCAAAAGGACCTATTTAGGACTTCTAAAATCAAAGAAGTAAAAGTTTCATAGTGATGGACCATTTTTCTGGAACAGGCCCACAGATGATTTGGCAAAACCATGTGTTTAGTAGCAGTAGCAGTTTGTTAACAAAGACAAAATGCTTCCCCTTATGAGGAACTCTGAAAAAATGCTGCAGATTTTGTGCAGTGCCTATTGGGCAGGGCTTGCTGGACGTGAATTATAAAGACATAACAGAACTAGTTAACACCAGTGAGAGGTGTAGTTTTGAGTATAATATTTTAACTAGATAGTTTACCACTAGCAGTTACTGTTTCATTGAATATTCACCTTGACGGGTGGCATCTTGAAATAAAAGAACAAAACATACTGCTCATGTCCATACATTACTACATTAAACAGCTGCTTCTAGGTGAATACATCCAAATATATCTACACACTTAGTTATTACTTTTTTTTTTTTTAAATCTAGAATTATATTCTGTATTTCATTCAGAGTGGCCTTATTTCTGTAATTTTTTTTTAATAACCATGTATATATTATGTATGATATCTTGAGCTCAGTCTTAAAAAGGAACTACTGTAGGGCCATCTGAGACATCTCAGCAGAACATTAGTCACTCTGCAACAGGGGCACACCTTGAGAAGCACACAGTTCCAATCAAGGTGCAGCATGAAGTGGGGAAGAGGGAAAGGGAAATTTCACAAAAAACTCAGGAGAAACCTTATCACAAAGAGAAAAGTACGTTCTTATTGCCTTTCTTTACAGGTCCTCTGCCAAAATAATACAACTGCTGCAACTGTTATACCCACCACACTGTGGGTTGATGAACAAAGCGACTTTGTACTGTTAAGTACCACACCAGGTGAACATGTATTGCACAGATGAAATTGTAATTCCACCACATTCTCACTCAATGGGAGCCTATTATTGCCTTTAGAGAAACTAAAATCTCAAATGGTGTAGTTCTTAGCAAAAAAAACAGACGAAAACTTCTCTTCTAAAACAATCCCATCTGTCAAACACAGCAGTACTATTTGGTTCACCTAAGATTTTGAACAAAGCTATTGTAATATTAAAAATTCAGAAAGCATCCATAAAATGGCTACACAATGTATGTGACACAACAATATTTCATTGAAATTGTGAACATGTATTCTTTAGACTTGTGTGAGCCTTAATATAATATCACAGAGTGAAAAAAGCTTAATGCAGTGATTTGCCTTGTAATTGCAAAAGCAGATGCAGCAGATTAGATTAAGAAAGCAATGAAGTTTGGCTGTGTTGTAGAAAATACACTACTATACAAAATACAGTCCTGGTTTGAAATATGACATTTTTGTCGTAATTTATAAATTATGTCATCACCTTATTAGCAGTCCAAAGAACAGGCAAAAAACAATACTTTTTAGCAAATGATGATGAAGATTAACAACCAAATGCTACTTTGTCAAAATGCTTAACACTGCATAGCTATTATCAGCATACTGAGGACTTTTGCAAACAATGACATCAGCTTGAACTGAAACAAGGGAAGAAGCCAGAAGCGGTTACAAACTCCAACGCACAATTTACATGACATACATGGATATAGGAGCAAAAATGTCTACAAATACCAAAGCAGACATGAATGTACAAGAATGTAGAATACTCATATGAATTAAAACAAAATTGATAAAGATCACCAGCACAGATGACAAGAAATCCATAAGTTTTTATGTTATACCTTTCTCGTTCTGGTGAATGCAAACTAGTATCTGGTCTCAAGCAGTTGGTACTAGCACTCCTAGCCCTGTCAAGGGAGGGCTGTAGTTCACTAGTGCCAGTGCATTGCATCCAATGGTAGAAGAGAAAGAAAAAGAAAACAAAGAAAGGAATACAATGTTAGATATTAACTCATAAAATAATGCTCTCTCTACAGAAAATGTAGAATCACAATGATTTAATTAAGGGAACATAAAAGAGTTGACTGGATGACAGTGCCAAAATTTTTTTAGAAAATAAAAGCAAACAAAAGACTGCTAGAAATTTTTTGCTAAGATCATTGAAATGTTTAAAACTGAATGAGACAGAACAATATCCACTCATAAGAAAGCGGAATGAGAAATACCAAACAATAAATTTCAATTCTTATTAAGAGCAGTAAATCTTAGGCCAACATAAAAAGACGTAATACACTACTTTTATGTGAAACCACTTTACAGTGAAGCTCTTTTATTCTGCAAATCCATATGAGATACCAAACAGGAGGGGGGAATTAATCCTCAGTTTCTTACCTAACCAGTAGATAATCTCCAAAGTTCGGTATTTGTGAATTAAGGCAATCACGAAGGAGTGTAATATCCTGTCTAATCACTGATTTGGTCTTAGCACATGCAGGAAGAGTTGAGCTTTGTAAATTAAAATTATTTAAACAAAATTAAAATAAATTTGACATGTAACCAAAATCATATGCACAAACAAAAGCATGTAACAAAGAAAAACAGGCGATGTGTAATTTTAACAGCGAAAAAAATGTTACCTAATACAAAGTGGTTTGTTTTTTCTTTTTTTTTTTGTAATGTAGGGGTTAATTCAGATAGTTATATGAAGTTATTTTAGGATTATATCCCTTATCAGTTATAAAAACTGTATGAAACTTTTTTTTTTTTTTTTTTAACAAGGTGAGACTATTTTTTAGAAAGGAACTAACTACTTAAAGTGGACTCTAAACACTTCTTACCTGTATAGGTTCCAATGGGTACCATTTTCTAGTAAAGGCATCTTGGGTGGTAATGTTTTATAGTGCCTATCAGAACTTCTTGAATGTGGGGGAACAGAAAAGAAAAAAGAACACAAAACCATGCCAGAAATAAAAAGACAGGTAAAGGTAAGGCAAGACTGACCAGAACATAAAACAAACGCATAATATTCTACTACATTTTATTGCTGTAATGAGTAGAATTCTCAAGATATGTTTTTCTCAACTCAACTGCTGTGACAGCTATCTGGGGGACAGTATCACAAACTCAATTATAGATGTATTAGCATCTGGCATTTTTTAATGTGTAAGTCTTTTTGAAGTGGTGTATCAGCTTCAAAATCTAACAGTAATTAAATTCTATTAATAATAAACTAATTAAAGAAACTTAGGAGATCTACTTTATCAGCCAGAAGAGCAGCATTCTGAGATGCTATATGACAACTGTTTAATATTATCGCCTACAGTGCATGAAATTTTAGAACCAGAGATGTTTGCTGGTTGGGAACAGGTTGCCCAAGGAAGTTGTGGATGCCCCCTCCCTGGAAGTGTTAAAGGCCAGGCTGGATGAGGCTTTGAGCAACCTGGTCTAGTGGAAGGTGTCCCTGCTGATGGCAGGGGGGTTGGAACTAGATGATCTTTAAGGCCCCTTCCAAGCCAAACCATTCTATGATTCTATGATTATTATCCAGCTCTATCCAATGAACAAGAGAGAAATTTAAAGGCAGACAGTGGCTGCCAAACAGGAATCATGACCATTTAATGGTTCAGGGTTAATAACCAAGTTCTAACAATTTTCCACACACCCTACCAGGACAGAGCTGTGGTGCTATTAGCAAAAGGACCAACAGCCTTAAGGATTCTGCAGCTTCAAGAACAGTCTGTCCCAACAGGACATTTTGATTCCCATTAAGTCTTGGACCTAGGCACAGCAGATCAACATTACAAACCTGGCTGTGTCACAGACAGATGAAACAAATCTCTGCCTGGAAACCCTAGTGTTTGTAAAACCCTGAGGGATGTAACAGAGGAGCTTTGACCCTTCTTGTACAGGTTTAGTGGTCGTCACTGCTGACATCTCTACCAGAGGTGACTGTGACATTATAAAGTTGGAATAAAGGATTTGTTGTCCATCAGGTCAATCCTGGTGTACTAGCAGATACTACCAATCAAAGTGGGTGTGACCTAAGACATGGTCTGTGACCACCCATGGTCTGTGGCATAGATACGTATGTCCTTCCACCATTTCTGCTATTAGTCAATAACTGCATACAGATGCACAGGATGGACAGCTAGGACTAGTGTTATTCTGAACTGGTGTATTAAACTAACCACAGATCTTAACTTTATAGCTTGGACTATCTCATATTAGTATTTCTTTCATTTAACATTAAATCCTTAACATTTCCTTCCCATTTGAAGTTGAAGCTGTCTCAACAATTTAATTTAAATATTATTCAACAACCTGTCTAGAAAACAAGGATAGAGCCTTATAAAGTTTCTCACATGAATAAATCGGAAAGAACACTACAAATGAGAAAGGACAAAAGATGGCAACCAATGTGCAGACCAAATTTTTGTTGAAAGGGTTTTTGGGACTATTCTGTCAAGGATGGATTTTGGCAGTTTTCTGGGTATTATTTAAACTTGGAGCAGGCTGTATAAGCCTCAGAGTTAAACTTAAAAATCAGTCTACTGTGTTCTATTGCCTTTATATTCACCTTCAATACATTATTAAAAGTACCACTCAGTTTTATAATATACCATAACCGTTACTTTAAAGGGGTGAATTTGTTACTCTTCTTGATCATAAAAAAATAACAGTAATAATTACAATAAGGAAAAAGGTAATAAAGGGCTGTACTCTTTGAATTCAATGTAACTCCTACCTACCTTTATTGGTGCCCATGCACAATATTTAGCTAGTTAACTGGACAGATTGGTTAGTAGATTTGTAACTACTGGAAATCCATTAGGTTTGGCCAAGCACATCAGTAGTTCATCATAAAATATTTACTTTGTGAATTAAGTAAGAATTTAAGCATTGTCACAGAATCACAGAATGTGAGGGATTGGAAGGACCTCGAAAGATCATCTAGTCCAATCCCCCTGCCAGAGCAGGAACCTAAATGAGATCACACAGGAAGGCATCCAGGCAGGTTTTTAATGTCGCCAGAGAAGGAGACTCCACAACCTCCCTGGGCAGCCTGTTCCAGGGCTCTGTCACCCTCACTGTAAAGAAGTTTCTTCTCAAGTTTAAGCGGAACCTCCTGTGTTCCAGTTTACACCCATTGCCCCTTGTCCTACCATTGGGCATCACTGAGAAGAGCCTGGCTCCATCCTCCTGACATTCGCCCTTTACATATTTATAAACATTAATAAGGTCATCCCTCAGTGACCTCAATTGTCATTGAAGAACTCTAATTAAAGTTCTAATCTTTAACAAGGAAAGGAAAAAGCACATAGCTGGGGGAAAGGAGGGGGGTGAAGATATAAAAGATGCAGTGGAAAGAGAAAGGCCATAGGAAGGAGGCAGGAAAGATTGCTGTTATATGATAATAAACAGACATAAAATAACAAGGAGTGAAATAAATCATTAACCTTTAAAACCTAACATTTTGAGGAAAAAGGGGTTTTTAGCTGAAGTATAAGCATGAAACTCTTTTTACTGATAATAAAAACTTAAGTTTTAATTTAACAGCTTCACTGACACACAGATTGTTTTGAAAATTTTCATATTTATCATTTTACCTTTATACTACTGTACCCTAGAACCCTGTCACAGCATCTTCAATAGTGCTTCAAATTTGATGAAGAGAAAGCAACTGAGGCATATTAAAAAAAACCAAAAACTCTACTCTGTAAGGGAAAATTCTACACTAAGTAAATGAACAAGTACATTAGAGGTTTTAAAAGTTTGATTGTTTTAAAAACATAGCACTGATGTAAAACTGTTAGCAACACCCAGATCCCTAACAGAAAAATGGCTAACTACTTGGCTGAAGTAGCTGAATGGTACACTCCTTCAACTTCAACCTACATTTTTATTGATTCTAAACTTTCTACACAATCTGATCTGTATTTTTAACAAGGTCAACAGATGTGGTGAAAAAAAAAAAAAAAGGTGGGGGGGAGCAGAATTAGATTTGTTAGATAAAGACATTTCAGTCCTGTTCAGTTTCACAACACTGGGAAGAGTTGAGACAGGGAGCTCCAGGCTCTGGATCAAGAGATTAACGAAGATTGAAGATGAGCTCAAACTACAAAGTTTATGCCTGGATCTAATTTATAGCACAATTTGTAGATATAAAACCAAGTAATATGAGACCCCTCAAATCTGGGGTTCCTAGTAAACCCTTATTAATTACTGTTCTTTCTTCTACAAGGAAACCAAAATCAGCATGAGATTAGGTGTCACGAGTATCGATGGTTGGCTTATGTGTGGCTGTAATATAAAAATAAAAATGCAAATAAAAGAAAACATAAAAACAAATAAAAAGGAATGTCTGACGTTATAACACCACTGTCATGCATTGGGAGACCAGGACTTCTGTGACTAGACAGAAAGTCTATCACAAAATACAACTGCAAAATCAGAATTTCTTCAACTGCTTTAATCCTTACTACTGAAGTTCACAACCACATAAACACATTTCAATATGAATTAAAATGAACAAAAATGAACAACTGACACTAGGAAAATCTTCACTTACTGGGACTAAATACTGCTATAGAAAAGAGTTGGGCACACAAAGTATCGACAACTAACCAGACGTGTCCATGACGACCGAATTCCTGTATTTACCTGATGGTATGTAGGCACTCTGCACTTCTTCCTCGTTTTGCTCTGGGCAGCATAAGAAGCTCACTGCACAGACAGGATGGGTGGTGAGTGAAACAGATATAGTTATGAAGCATTAGATGACATGACTTATGCCAATGATATGCAAATGAAAACAAAAAAAACCCAAGAAGCTTCCACCCAGATAGGTAGTCTGATAATATTCAAACCCAGACTGCACTTCTCAAAGAATATGAGCCAAAAAATGCCTATGATAAATAATTCCTTTTAGTATGGCAAGTAATTTTGTGGGATTACACCTTTTAAAATTCAGAAGTACTTTTTCAGAGCTCTTCATGATAAAAAGAATCCATAAACCAGTTACACTTCTTTGAAAATCTCTTTTCTCATGAACTAATTAATGAAGAAATACTTTGGGATAAAAAAAAAAAAAGAAGAATGATGCCTATTGTTTTGTTGGATTTTTTTTTCTTCCTAAGCCACAAAAACATACACAAAAGAGCAGGGCAGGTTTGCTACTAATTTAATGCCAATTGATTTATGGGAAGAGCAACCAGTCATCCTTCTGAGGGGAAAAAAGAAAATGTTCACTGGAAATATTACATTTGGACAAATATAAATTCTGACTCATAGCTCTTGACAATATTTTGTAATTTAATCCTAATGCAAAAAAAAACAAAAAAAACCCCCAAAAAACAACAACCCTGCTAATCACACTTATTGTTTCTTATTGTTTCCAATAGAGAAAAACAGCTGTCTATTCTATTTTTCATTTACTGTAACCAAACACATTCTATAGCCAGCAAGATGGTAAAATTAATACATATTTATGTCTATGGTAAATATGACTATGATATGAAATATCCCTTGAAGTAATCTTGTAGTTTTTTGCACTTTCACACAATCAGAAATATCCAGCTCCAAATCTCCTAATTATCATAAATATGAATTTAAAGCTAAACTTCATGGAAACATGTTATTTTAAAATAAGCAGGGAATCATATGAAGTACTATGGTGACAAAGAGAGAAAAAATTACAAAGTAGATAAAGCAGCAGTTGTTCAATGTGTTTTATGCTTCATGCCATTTTAAAATGACCCATTTAAGTGATGCAGTATAGGTAATATCTAAAATTCTAAACTGGGCAGCTTGAAATAATGGCTTGTGAGTCATGTGTGAGATTTAAGTTTGCATCTGGAACCACTAGCCTGATTTTGATGCAACAAAATGTATTAAAGGTGAACTGAATTGTTTTTTGGTTTTGAGGGTTTTTTTAAGCAAAATTTGCATTCATAAGCTCAGAGGACTGTCAGAATTTATATGCAAGTTTCCAAATTACAAATAAGCATGCATTTTAGGAAAAAAGTTACCATTTTCTTAAGAGTTGTGAAGGAGATGCGAAGTCCACATTAAATCATAAGGTACTTTGTTAACATTTACTCTGCCTTTGCTAAGTCAAAGAGTAGCCATTGTAATTGGTCCACAGCAAACAGTAATATAAAATTCATACAGAAAAGAAATACAAAATAGCCAATCCACATTAAGTCTTCAAGTTAAAAAAACAAAGCAAAAGAATCCATCACAGTAGTTTACTGATAATGTAAGAAGATACTCACAGTTCTATAATAAATTAAGACTGCTTTGGAGTCATTTAAAACAGAGATTATTTTTCTAAAACAAATGTTTTCTATTGTGAGTATTTTGGTACTTACATTAACAGATTTTATTTAGGAATGAAAGAAATACCAAAAAAAAAAAAAAAAAAAAAAGAAGAAAAGGGTCATGCCCTTGAAAATTGGATGATGATCCCAAATTCAGAGCAAAGTTTACTGCTTAGCTAGATTTCCTAATAAAAAGCTTTTCCTAACAGATTTATACATACATACACACACACATACACACGTGTATGTATGTATATAAATATATATATAAAAGGTAAAGTGGACAAATCAGTTCCACTGGAAATCTATCACACCAGATACTTTAATTAGAGACTATAATAATTATTTTTACAAAGATCAATTCAGAATATTCAATATTAATTTGGGACGAGTTACAGATCATTGAGAAAATGATCAAAAGTAATAAACAATCACAGTTTCTGCCATGTAACTATTGGGTTATTACTCATCTTTCAAACCAAGTTTACATATGGTATCTATATGAATGTACTTGTTTAGATTAAGGGTTCAGTAAATGAACAACACATTATATTTATACTACTATTGATACTAATATATAATACTGACTAAAGATTTTTTTCTTAGATCCTTGCATGTGATAGAGAATCTTCCTCAACAAACACAATTTTGATCTTCCCTATGATGCTGATCTTATGTACTAAAGACAGTGAAACCTGCAAGAGTTAAACAGCCTCCACAACTGAAGAAATTTGAGAAAGATGAAAAGGAAAACATGAAAAAGGAGACCACTGCAGACAAGATTATTACTCAAGGAGAGTAAGTATATGGACCCGTCTTTAAATCCTATAAATAAGCCGCATACATCCTTCATGTCTGATCTCTAAACTTCTGAAAAGTGTTTTCTGAACATTGAAAAGAACCGAAGACTGTGTCTTACTCTTCTGAAGAAATCCAGCAGCCTATTGCTGCTGTGGCTCTGGTCTGATGGCTCCTCTCCAAGAAAGCCTCAATGCAAGCCCTGCTCTCCAAGCACAATCCATGCATATATCATCATTTATACCATGGTTTGAGGCTTTACTGGAAGAAAACTTTATACACAGTTAACTTTCTATATTTATTTATACTGAAAAAAGCTACTTGTTAATGTTTTTTTCTCCTCAGATGTGCTCAATAAGAATTCAATAAGTATCTTCAGGAATCTTTTTAATATATCACTACTTATAATAAATAATAACATGAAACATTTGCAACAAGTGGAAATTACTTGAATTAGCTTAACTATAAATCTGCCTACTACATTTAAAAAGCATTTCAATTCACCTCTGAAAGGAAATTCAGTACAACAATCCAACTTAGACAATTCTGTACAGACTTCTTGCCTATAAAGTTGAATTTAAAAATGTTCCAAATAACTCATTAATTCTCATATGTATGTTACCACATTAAAAAAGCAAAACAGGCAAGGTCATACACAGAACTGAACTAGTTTTACTGCAAAAGCCATCTGTTATTCAATTTCTATGTTGCTTCAAAACTGGACAAAGAGTTCCAGAGTTTTTAATGTTTTATTCTGTATATGTTTTCATATCACTATGAAATGTATGTTCGGTATTGAATTTACTGGATCATTTGGAAAGGCTTTGTCATCCTTACTCATAAAAAATAGCAACTCACTGAAAAAAAATAAAAATCCAAAGACATTACTGGGACAATTGATCTTATACAAATGGTAAAAGTTTGCCATTATAGTTTAGCTATATGATTTTTTTCAAAGTAAACAAACAACCCACAAACATTAATAATCTATATGACTCTCATTATTAAGTTTCCCAAATACTGAACTGAAATACCTTTTTGAGCTTTTTTCAGCTATAAACTAAACAGCAATTCTCATTTTCTTCCATTTTATTAGAATATATTCCTAGATATCTGAAAACTATAGCTACTAGGACAGACCATCGGTTCTCTGAGGCCTGTAGCCACTGCATGTATTCCAGGGAAAGAAGTGTATGTGTCACGCATATAAGATTGGAGATTTTTGCTAATTACAAGCACCGCAACTATCCTTGCAATGCTTGATACTGTACCAAGTTCACTGGAACGTTACATAAGATGCTGTGAGACTGCATATATAGATGTCCAAAATCTATAAGCACAGGAATGCAAATCATAGCATATGCAACTCTCAACTAGTAGGAACGCATGCCTGGTTATTTTGCTGCCTACCGAAACAGATCAATTCAGAGTTACAAGAACAGCTAGGGCATACATGTAGATTTATAGTTTCCTAGCAAAAATCTTTGGGCTTCATTCATGAAACAAACTCTAGGACACACACCCAAGAACTGCTAGTCTAGATACCTGCTGTTACCGTCAACTGGAGCACAGTTTTACCAAAACAGAGGCATAGATAGTTTAACCATTATATTAGATTTGTCAGTTAGGATGACTCCTCTCCCTTCCCCATTACTATCAGTCGTGTTTCTACCGAACACTTGAAAATTAGGCAAAGCAACAAAGACATTTCTAAACTTGTTTCCAAGTTCAGGCTGACAATGTACCTTTCTTGATCAGACAAATACTGACTATCCATGTCTCTGGATCTGTAATCAACTGGAGTTCTGGAGGCATCATGGTGTCTAGTTGGAGAACGTGATCTTCTCATTTGATGAATTTCATCTAAACTCCTGAAAGGCAGAGATATGTATGATAATCTTGTTTTCTCAAAAATAACACAGCTTAATGGACTACAATACAAGTTGGTTGAAGCAAGTCTTCAATCATTAAATTGTTAATATATGACTTATAAAAAAAATATCAGTTCGTAAGATTATTTTTTTTTAAATTCCACCTCTAACTATAGAAAGCAGCTATTTGTACCATATTTAGAAATACATGTTTGTTTCTGTGTACATTGATGGATTCACTAATGGAATTTTCAAAGCCTGTACTTAAAGAATAACTGAGATAACACAGAAATTGAAAATACCTCACATGAAATTAAGTTTTATGCATTTGTATATTCATAGTCAGATTTTTAATGCTCATTTTGGGCTATCAGCTTTTTGCAGGTATCTCCAAGTATTCTTTAAGAAATTCTGGGATGGGATATGGGAACTTGCAGCAGATTTTATCAATCTCAGACTAAGTGTTATACAAAAGTGATACAATTTTGTATAAATGCAGGTAGTGTATGACCTTCATGACAGTAATTTAAAGCCCTCTCACATGGAAAAGAACAAGAAAAGAAACTACTGTTTGAAAGGTAGATTCTTCCCTTAGTTTAATAATTGCCATTGGAACAAGAAGCAGTAGTTTTCCAAAGTATAAAATGAAAGGATACATGGAATTGACTATGAAATAATTATTTTTGCATTGCGCTTGTAGATAGAAAGATACAACAAGAGCACATATAATTGTTCACAAAAGAGACTGAGGAGCCCTCATTCTCTCTACTATAAAAAAATGAGTCAGTGTCCCAGTCTGTTTTATGTACAGCCATACTCTTCTACCTGTTAAGGACGCACTACTGAGAAATGCAACAGAAAGTGATTTGGTGGGTAGTGAAATAGCTTCATCTGTAAGAACTGATGTAACAGAGGGCGATGCATGCAGAGACTTAAGAAGCACAGAAAATTTGAATGCACAAGAACAGTATGTATAGCATAGAGGATGGAAAAGCAGAACCAAGATCATCAGGATTCTCAACTGGGAGGAGAAGCTGGTTTTCCAAAACATAGCATCACTTTGAAACATCACAGATTTCTTGCATTAAATAACCAGTGCTGGAATTAAAAAAACAAAACAAAACAAAACAAAAACCCCACAGAAACGATGGATAAGGACAGTACTGTAGCACAGAATTTTGTACACAAAATTCAGCTAAGAAGGGTAGATTTTCAATAAACTAACACAGCTAGTGGGCAATGATGTTTCTAGTGCAACATTTCAAGCTCCCACAGTAATTCAACAACAAAGCTTCCTAGAAATCGGAGGAAAGGTAAACTGGTAAAAACTGGCTGATTTTTAGGGTTCTATGAGAGGCTGCAAGAAAAGCTTATTGCCCTGCTCAATAAAACAAGCAAAATTAAGTGAGTGAAGTTTTGTGCTTAAATAGTCTGTATGGTATGGCACTATTCAAAAAAAGCATAAAGCATGCAAATGAAAAGCTCAAAAAGTATTCTCCGATTAACAGGCTGTATATCAAAAGCAGTAAATGCAGAAAATAGAGGTTTATAAATCACTGTGATTCTGTAAAGTATTTTTCACTTCTTTCATTTAAAATGTCACACTATAAATAGAATTGGTAATTTCAGCTTGCTGTTAATTCAAAATTAGCTCAATTCATAGTTACTATACAATTTGAATACACCACTATTTATTATTCTACAAATATACTCAAGTGGCTTCATACAAGATTCAGCCACTGACTGAAAAAAACATTTCCAAACCTACATATTAGTTATGGTACACAGATAATGAATCAGACAGAAATTACCAGTAAAGAAGAGGCAAGTTTTACAAAGTTATGATTCACCTCATGAGTGCTCTTGAATGATTAATAAAAGCATACATCAAGTACAAATATTACACACTTAAATTAAGATACAAAAAAAGGTTTAAAATTGTGAAAAGCTGCAAAACAAAAGCTAACTTAATAGCGACAGATTATACAAACTTGAAACCATCCAGTGTTTCACTAACTCAGGCTGCCTACCTCTGTAATGGCACATTTGGTAAACGTGAACGGGTCCTGCCCTGATCGTCACCACGGTGAGGAGATACAGATCGTGAACGATGATGTGTTGTTCTTTGCTGTTCTGGCACAGTTAGCGTTGCAGGTTTACTTTCTCTAGTACTAGATCTATAACCTACTGGCAAGAGGGCAACAAAAGGAAATTAGAGAATAAAAGTCTGGGTTTGGAAAGAATTCACGTGGTTAGACCTTCCAGTAACACACATCTAAACGCTTACACAACTTTCAAGTCGTCATTCAGCCGTTGTACATCCCGACGCATCATGCAGCCAGGATAAATTACAAGCATTACCTTTAAACATCTACATGTAAAGAGACAGAGAAACTGAGATGATTTTCGTTCTGGAAGATGTGGAGGAGAGAACTGAAATAGTTTCTGACTTGGAGAAGAGTAACCAGTGTAACTTTTATTTCAAAATTGTTATACAGGAGCAAATATTTGAAAGGAATCCAAGCAATGTAGGTGTACCTCATCTAACAAATGGAGAAGGCACGCTTGTGTACAGCAGCACAGACTCATCCAGAACTGCTCATATATAAAGCATCCTTCTGACTCTTGTTTCAGTTAAATACAAATATATTATCTACTGAATATAGCCACCTCCTTTCAAAAATTCTGAGCATTTAGAGTATATTGTATAGAATATTGCATGTTGCATACTCTGCAGAATGTTTTTTTCCAAATACTATGAATGAGCTGCAAAGTTTTTGATAGTTCATTTTCACATAGGATTTAAAAAAGAAATCAGCAGAATGATAGTCCATTTTAAAACGTTGACATTCCTGTGCCTTTTTCCATGTAGCACACTGTTTGCCTTTGAATTCCATTCTAAAACACACAATGAAGCTCAGGAAGATCAACAGCTTTCAAAAGGTGACCGTGAGCTTTCCAAAAGAGCCTAAGGAGATTTGCTCAGACTTTAGTTGCTCACTTCTAGACATTTAAATTAGATTAGAAGAATCCTTTGACAGGAAATCCCTTAATGACAGAGAGAGCCGTCCTTAAAGTCATCCCTTAATGACCTCACAAATTATTCTTTAGATTAGAAAATAGTCATTGTTCTGCTTCTCTGAATTTGTCTAGCACTAAGTTCCTAAGTTGCTGTGATGAGTTATTTTGTTCAACTAAAAAACCAGCCTGTACCAGAAATCATCTTTCCATGCAGGAAAAAAATATTATTTAGTCACTCAATTGCCAATTGGGTAAACTAATAAGTTGCACTTTTTTAAGGATCTTGTTATAGAATTTCAAGTATGAGGTTTTTTCATATTTTGTATAATTCTTGTAGTACTTCTCTGATCTTCTACCGAATTGTTATAGCCCTCTTAAAAAGTGTGGCCCATATACAGAGTCTGTATTAGGCTTGGTCATGTACTCAATGACACTTAATAACTGTTTAGTTGCAAGGCTGAACCCTGATCACAAACCTCAAGACAGAATTCATGCTTTTTCTCCTAAATTTTACATCGATTTACCAACCTATTCTAATGGACGTGTAAATGATCTGAATGCATTATCTCATTATCAGGCCAGGAAAAAAAAGACTGTTGAAAAAGTGATGAGTAATCCTAAAACAAGAACATCTCCCACCATAGAACAGATTATTTTATTAACAGAAAATTGAGAACAGGGATCTACTAGATTATGCATTTTATCTTCCAAGGAACTCTAAGACTGTTTTCACCAATTATGTAGCTTATAATATCACAGCCTCCAGAATTGTGTCCGCACCTTTTATATAGCACTGAGGAAACTATCAAAAGTTATGCAAAGATAATAGATGAGCACCAAGGTGCTGCATTATCCTGTAATAGCTTCCATCCTTACACCAGCAGCAACTTTACTAAACAAAAAAAGACTGGCTGCAATGATTTCTTGTTGTCTTTAATACATTTATGACAACAAATATGATAGGGAAGGCAGGTGTGAAGGAGACAAAGTTAACAAAGTGATGATTAGACAGTTTTACTATGGACTCTCTGGTTACGGTCAGCTAGAAAACATGCAGAAAGACCTTTGTAAGTTCTGTCATCACTTTGTCCAACTTTCATGTCTTATACTATGTCTAGTATAATGGTTGGTGTGAGAACAGGGGAAATAACTTTTTTTGCTTCCATTTGTTGAAGCAGAGAGATGAGACGAGGCTAAAAATCAGGGAAACGGGAAGCACTACAAGTACGGACAGATCTCAGAGGGTAGGACTGGGCCCAAAGAAAAGCACTTGTCAGAAGAACATATGTAGCTCAGAAACAAACAAGATTGACCATAATGTTGTGTGCATGTGGGTGTGCGCTGTTCCCAGACACCGAGTTAGACATGTCAAATAAAAATCGTGAATACAGTTTCATATTTAAAATGTGACATTAATCAAGTTTGGAGAGGTTGGAGGCTGTCATGTGAAAACCAGAGAAGGATATGGAGAACAAACTTCTGGGAGACTGAACTAGTAGCTACATAAATAGCAAATGTTTGCCACTTAATGAGCATTTTTAATAGCAAAGGCGTACTGAGTATCGACTGCAAAATAGACTCGCAGAAGTTGATGGCACGAATGAAAGTATCTATCAAAGTTTGTCAACCTTTTAACAAAGGACTCCAATGTTTCACAGGTTTTGATGCACTGTGATGCTGGAGTACCTTATCTGCTGTGCAACTGTTTCAGAGTTGTGCAATAAAACTAGAAATAATACAAGGATCTCACTCTCTCAGGACAAGGACTGGATACAAATTCTGAGGCAAAAAAGGAACTCCCTCAGACTTCAGTGGAGATTCCTTCATCTCATGTACTAAAGTTACTGCAGAAAACATCTGGTTTATTGTCAGATGAAGAAAAAAGACTACTCATGACAAAAGCTGGATGTGTTCCCTTTCCCAGGATAATTAAATCTAAGCTGTATGTGCCAAAACATATTTCATTTTCCAAACAAGCTTGTTTTAGATAAAATCCTGTCATCTCTATGAGAAGGAACATTAGTTTACATTTATTCAACACTGAAATCAAAGAAATCCAAAACTTCTTTGTAAGCTTTAGGCAATTGTACTGAAATACATATAATTAAAATAAATATTTAAAAAATAAATATGAATTTCAGTTTAAAACATATTTCTGGAGTCTCTCTAGTCTACCTAAAAAAATACACCTAGGATTATGCTGTATACTTAAAAATGTGGTATAGAAAGGTGATTTTATCCTATATATCCTTCACAGTCACGTTATCCAGGGAACAGTATCTGAAACTTGTTCATTGTGTGTACACAAAGCTTGCAGAAGAGATAGAGCAATAGAGCAATAGCAATTCACATTTACCCTAAGTATTAGCTCATGTATTGTTAAGTTGGTCAAACCTCATTCATACTTCCACAGTGACCATAACAGTGACAGCAACAGTAAAATTTCCTCATATCCTCAAATACAAAGGCTCTGTGCTCTCCAGAGTGAGCAGAGAATTTTTTTGCATGGACCAGCATGACAGCAGCAATCAAGCTTATGGTAGTTTATGTAGAAGTTTCTCAGTTGCTCATGGGAAACTGTCAGGTGTGACATGAAATGGAAGCTGGGTGGATGAAGAAAATGGTTCTAGCAAATGCTTGATATCATAACTTTTTTTTTTTTTCAAGACAATATAGACAACAACAAGGTGTGATGATGGCACCCTGCTGCTACAGGCAGAAGGTAAGTACAATACAACCATTTTTACGGACTACATATGATAGAAAAATAAATTGTTAGAAAAATAAGAGTAACCCATAGCATAAGCAATGCAGCTCATTAAAAATACCCCTTGGGATATTGCCAACTATATATCAGCTTTTTTTTCTTTTTAATTAAGAAAATTACTGAAGTTACTCGGACGAGTACTATTCAAGATATTCATCAATGACCTAGATGAGGGAACAGAGTGCACTGTCAGCAAGTTTGCTGATGATACAAAGCTGGGAGGAGTGGCTGACACACCAGAAGGCTGTGCTGCCATCCAGCGAGACCTGGACAGGCTGGAGAAATGGGTGGGGAAAAAAATTAATGAAATATAATAAGGGCAAGTGTAGGGTGCTGCATCTGGGCAGGAACAACCCCAGGTTCCAGTATAGGTTGGGGAATGATCTATCAGAGAGCAGTGTAGGGGAAAGGGATCTGGGAGTCCTGCTGGACAGCAGGATGACCATGAGCCAGCACTGTGCCCTTGTGGCCAGGAAGGCCAATGGCATCCTGGGGTGTATTAGAAGGGGTGTGGTTAGTAGGTCAAGAGAGGTTCTCCTCCCCCTCTATTCTGCCCTGGTGAGGCCACATCTGGAGTATTGTGTCCAGTTCTGGGCCCCACAGTTCAAGAAGGACAGGGAACTGCTTGAGAGAGTCCAGCACATAGCCACAAAGATGATTAAGGGAGTGGAGCATCTCCTTTATGAGGAAAGGCTGAGGGAGCTGGGGCTCTTTAGCTTAGAGAAGAGGAGACTGAGGGGTGACCTTATTAATGTTTATAAATATATAAAGGGTGCGTGTCACGAGGATGAAGCCAGGCTCTTCTCAGCGACAACCAATGATAAGACATGGGGCAATGGGTGCAAGCTGGAACACAGGAGGTTCCACTTAAACTTGAGAAGAAACTTCTTTACAGTGAGGGTGACAGAGCCCTGGAACAGGCTGCCCAGGGAGGTTGTGGAGTCTCCTTCTCTGGAGACATTCAAAACCCACCTGGACGCCTTCCTGTGTGATCTCATTTAGGTTCCTGCTCCGGCAGGGGGATTGGACTAGATGATCTTTCGAGGTCTCTTCCAATCCCTAACATTCTGTGATTCTGTGATTAAAAAGACAGGCCTCAAAACTTGTTCAGTTTTTATTAAATCCTTTACTGTTCCTTTATTGACCCTTCCTATATACTTAGCATTGGTGAGGCCACATCTGGAGTACCGAGCTACCCAACAGAAGAGAGTCATGGAACTACTGGTGTGAGTCTAGCTCAGGATCACAAAGGTAACTAAGAGACTGGAGTGCCTGCAGGAGTGGCTAAAAAAATTAAAGTAATATTTTCTTCATGTGAATAGATGAACAATGTCAAAAATCAATTCTGTTAAAGCTGAGGTTCAAATTAAGTTACTTTCAGCTTTTGATATAAACTCCTTTTATGAACAGTTCTATGAGTTGATTTAAAAAAAATATCACTGCAAGATATTAATAATAAATTAGGACAGTAAAATTATATGAACAATAAGAACATCTGTGATATCACATGGGAAAAAACACTTTTCTTAAAATATTCTTGAAGTTATCAAAGTGCCATTATTTTTAATGTACCAGCCTTTGCTTTCATTGACAAGTAGTGATTCTTTGCAGCTGCTGAAAATAGTTTTCTCTATTACTAACTGCTAATACTGCATTTGCCTTAGCAATTGGTAAAACATTTGAAATTATAGTTTTAAGGATTTCCAATGTCAGTTAAATTAGCCAAAATATTTTCACCATTCCTTTTTTTGGTTTATTGTGGTGATCAAGTAAACTTTCGTGCTTCTACATTTTGCAGTTATGTGTCTGATTTTTTAGAAAATGACCAATAGTATTTGTGAAAATCTTGAGATATTAAGAAGGCAAATTAACTTCCTTCTTTTCTGAACATTCCAAGAAAAAGAATAAATAAACAACTGTAACAAGATACCTTCAATAAAGACAGAGCTTATTCATCATATATAAGCATTATGGTGGCTAACATTGGCAAGTAAGTGGGAAAGGAAGGAAAAGGGGATTTAAAGGGAAACATTTTCTTTTGAGTCACATATTGTAAACTCAGTTTTGATATTGTTACTTCTGTTGAGAAGGAATACCTTAGTCCTGGACTAATCTAGTTGAAGCCAATAGAGGCTATGCCAAAATAGTCTAAGAGCTGCATCATTATCCAACATTATGGGAAAATAAAGATATTCATTGTCCTTCCCACATGCATACCTTGCAGGAGAATGTGTGGGAAATCTGGACCAGACAAGAGCTACAGTGCACTCCAGTGAGGTCCATGGTACTGGGGGGCAGGAGGCGGGAAAAAGCAACGAGCTTGTAGCACAAGGAGGAATTGCATATCCAAAATCTTAGATGATTTAGCAATGTGATAAATAAGGAAGGTTGGATAGAGGGGTAAAAATGTGTATTGAAATTGGTGTCCAGGAACAATTTTGAATCTGTGCTTAAGATTCTTGAGCAATTCAGTAAACGGTGGGACTGGCAACCTTTTCCAGCTCTCACTGCATTTCATATGCTGTCTAGGCTGTCACACATTCATGGCTGATGACTGAAATTTTCTTTGTCCCTAAAGTCTATCCCTCATTTAAGAATTCAGGCCACATCTGCAAACAAACCCCTACGCTTACATGTTTATCCATTTTGCATGGGAATCACAAACAGATGAACTCCACTTCAGTTGCCAAACATGTATCCATTAAAGTCAAAATAGACAAATCTGTGCTTGGTTAGGTCAGCTGCCATTGTTTCTGATTTAGGTGGACTTCAGAAAGAGTTCTGTCAGGCCCTTTGAGTTTCAGTTTAGAGACTCAGCTCATTGTAAATCCTATGGCTATAGATTAAATCTTGCAATTTTCTAAAGTGATGTCTGAGAAAGTTTGGACCCATTCATTCTTCAAAGGCACACCTGAGCATGCACAGTCCCAGTAAATTTCCATAAGAATCAGTTACTCAAGTGCTGACCCAGTTGAACATTTTTTAATGTTTCCTGTCAGATGTAAAATGGTTTTGTATTGGGTTTGCATGGCAAGGTTTTGGTAGCAGGGGGGCTACAGAGCTGGCTTCTGTGAGAAGCTGCCAGAAGTTTCCCCTATATCTGAAAGAGCCAGTGCCAGCCGGCACCCAGACGGACCCACCACTAGCCAAGACTGAGCTCATCAGTGACAGTGGTAACATCTCAGGGATTACATATTTAAGAAGAGGAAAAAGCTGCCGTGCAACAGCAACTGCAGTAGTCAAGAAAAAAGGAATGGGAAGATGTGAGAGAAACAACTCTGCAGACACCAAGGTCAGTGAAGGAGAGGGAGGAGGTGCTCCAGGTGCCAAAGTAGAGATTTCCCTGCAGCTTGTGGTGAAGATCATGGTGAGGCAGGCTGTCCCCCTGCAGCCCATGGGCAGTAACAGTGGAGCCGATGTCCACCTGTAGCCTGTGGAGGACCCCAAGCCAGAGTAAGTGGATGCCCAAAGGAGGCTGTGAATCCATGGGAAGCCCACACTGAAGCAGGCACCTGGCAGGACCTATGGTCCCATGGAGACAGGAACCCATGCTGGAGCAGGTTTGCTGGTAGGACTTGTGACCTGAAGTATGTTCCTGAAGGACTGCGTGCTGAGGAAAGGACACATGTTGGAGCAGTTCATGAAGAAGTGCAGCCCATGGGAAGGCCTCACTTTGGAGAAGTTCATGGAAAACTGTCTCCCATTAGAAGGAGCCCATACTGGAGCAGGGGAGAGTGTGAGGAGTCCTCCCCCTGAGGAGAAAGGAGTGGCAGAAGTAATGTGTGATGAACTGACCCCAACTCCCACTCCCCACCCCACTGTGCCACTGAGTGGGAGAAGGTAGAGAAAATCAGGAGTGAAGTCAAGCCTGGGAAGAAGGGAGTGGTTGGGGGAAGGTGTTTTAAGCTTTAGTTTTTATTTCTCATTATACTACTCCAATTTGTTTGGTAATAAATAAAACTAATTTTTCCCCAAGTCAAGTTTGTTTTGTCTGTGATGGTTAATTGCTGAGTGATTTCCCTGTCCTTATCTCAACCCATTAGCCTTTTGTTCTATTTTCTCTCCCCCTGTCCAGTTGAGGAGGGGGAGTGATAGAGTGGCTCTGGAGGGCACCTGGCATCCAGCCAGAATCAACCCACCACAGGTTTATTTCAAATGGTAAATGTGTGCTTTGAAGAACTGGCAGCTGAAAAAAACGCCCCATTTCTTAATATAGTATACTGAAACCTTAAACAGAAGTAAGTCTACACAGATATACCAGTATCTACATTGTCAAAAAAAGATATGATTATTTTAATTTTAAGTATTTACTCTCTCAGCTGATGTAAAACTATCAAGATTAATCACTTCATTAAAGCAACTATCATTACTAGACATACCTGAACAAATTTTCCTCTTAGTAACTTAGGTGGTAAACATATTAAAGTAAGAGAAGAATTCAATCAACATGAAAGGAAGAAGAATTTGGCTCAGTAAACATCAAAATGATATAGCATTAATAAAATATGTTATTTATTTGTATGGTTATATAATGTTTATTTGTATGGTTAGACACTGGAACAGGTTGCCCAAGGAAGTTGTTGATGCCCCTCCCTGGAAGTGTTTAAGGCCAGGCTGGATGAGGCTTTGAGCAACCTGATCTAGTGGAAGGTGTCCCTGCTGATGGCAGGGGGATTGGAACTAGATGATCTTTAGGGTCCTTTCCAATCCTAACCATTCTATGATTCTATGATAATGAATAAATTAATTGTCAGGTTATTTTAAACAAGGCTTGGGAAGATAGAGAGCTTTCCAAATCCCACCATGATTTAATTCAGCAATTTTCATCAGGAAGATCCACAGAAAAACTGATTTAGTGCTTACAATGGCATAGTGACTCTTGAGTTAGTTTGGGACAATTGGGAAACATTTTCATCTGACTTGTGGCAACAGTCAAATAGAAGTAGGAAAATGTGGTATCCAAAATTGTCCTCAAGATTTTCAGTATGTAAGGAATGCTGAACTAAAAGTAAAACCAAGATAGTCTCTACAAGTATATATTTATGAACATTTAGGTAATGATAGTTCATGAAAGCTTATGAAAACTATAAAAGATATAGCCATGCTACAAGCATCTTAATCTACAGCCATGCATTCTGAACAAAACTAATGGGAGACTGCATTATATCTGAATTTCAAGCAAAATGCAAAATAAAAAAAAATGCTTGCAATAAACACTGAAATCTTAATTACTACTTTAAAATTATTTTTTGAATTTAATTTATATTTTAAATAATGCTTGGAACATTACACAGTAAACAATTAATCAATTTGAACTTTCCAGTGGTTCACATATAAAGAATGATATGTAAAATAAGTATCAAATGAATGAATAGTAGAATCTTTTAATTCACCATGATTTAGGACAAGTACCATGGAATAATCAGGAAATTTTTTTTTACAATGCACTCTCCAAAATCAGTATCCTCAATATTGTGAAATGTTAGAAAGAAAAAAACAAACAAGCAAAAAAGAAGAAGAAAGCAGGACCATGCTGTTCACACACGCACCTGGAGGAACAACTCCAATACCATCATCAACATCATAATCTGAGATGTCACTATCACTGATTGGCCGAGATCCTGCACAACAGTAAGGTAAACAAATACCTGAACATCTGGTTGTCTTATCACATGTAGAAATATGTTCATTTAACATATTACTGAGATTCAAAAGATTATTTTAAATCTAAACAATAAAGGAGGAGAACTAAACTGCAGTGATCTACAGTGACTTTTCAAAAGATAGATGAGCCAATTTAACATGCTATAGCTGCTGCAGCCTCCTTTCCCCTTCTCCTTCCCTCAAGTCTTCAGTAATCCTCTACTAGGATAGTTTATCTCACTAAACCAGCAAAAAGTTAACTCAAATGAAGAAAAAAAAAAAATACTTTTGTGCTATTTCAGTGTCTAAGCTGAATCAGCTTCCTGAACAGGAAAGGAGAGGTGGCAGCATATGGTGAAAGAGGGGAAAAGGAAACAGCACTGCCAGCTTTTAGAAACGTTCAAATATCTCCTGAAAACTAACCTTTAATTTGCTCACTCTATACATATCCTCATGTAGCAATTACAGCAGTACCCCATTTTTATAATTCATTCCTGAATGTGCACCAATTTCCTATGCATTGTCTGGAATGAATAACTTCCATGTTTAAGAAAAAACAGAAAAATAGCTTGGAAACATATTCTAAACTAATCATCTATGTCCTTCTTATTTCTAAATAAATATCAAATTAATGTAAAAGAACAGAGAAGCTACAATACTAAAATATTTCAATACAGTCATTATTTTAATATGTTTCATACAAACCTGAAATCAGATTCATCAAAACAACTGTACCTACAAAATACACACATACCATTTCTCTTTGCTGTAAAAGTACACTTCTCATCTGGTTGTATAATGAGCATATTGGAGGTTGAGACTAACTTTATGATGAAAACTGTTTTTAAGCCTTGTAAGTCTTTAAGGACCCTTTTTTTTTTTTTTTAATTAAAAGCTTATTAAAAAAGTAACCAATAATGATGAACTTCATTCTTCTATTTAAAAGGAAATTTATGCAAACAGATGTTTGAACAATTTTCTTTTGCTAGCAAAAACCAAACCAGTTCCAACAGGTTTCACATACTTAAAAGTTATGCATCACAGGTGAAAGGCTGCCGTGTCAATGTCATAGTTTGCTTCTCTTTTCTGCCACACATTTTTGTTTAAAGACTATAAAATATTATTTTAACTTGCATATGAAAGCTAAGATACCATTACACTATATCCTGCATTTCTAATTTTAAATTTAAAACAGATGAATGGAATTTTGACCTACTTTGTAATTTTTTGCTAGTGCTTTCTCCACCATGAACATGTCTTCTTGGCATGAAAGGTGATGGCTGAGGCAGAGGTAGTGAAGATTCATCATGTGTCTGCAGCTTATACCAATGTGGTTCATCATCTAAAAGTGCTGTCTCCAGCTCTATAAGAATCTAATAGAAAAATCACGAGGTTTAAATTTTACTTTCAAGGCACACACACAAAAACACATATATAAAATATATATGTGTATGTATTCAAAACCAAACAATGAACTCGGGAGAAATGTGATTGTATGTATCACCTCTCCAAGAAATTCACTCTCCTCTTCTTGTACTCTTGGCTGATCCCATACGGTTATTTCAAGCATTCGTTCTCTAAAATCTCTACGATGTACATGTGAGTAGAGAAAAGTTTGGTTCCATTTTGGCTCTAGACTTTTCTTTACTGTTTTGGTCCTCCTTTTACTCTTATCACTGGAACATAAATATTTGATATAAATTGTTTGTAGAGATAAATCACAAATGCCATCTACTCATCAGCACTCACTGTTTTCATTCTTTCTGATCTGATAATGCCTAAAAGAGAAAAGTATTTGCTGTACAGTGGATCACATTCATCCAAAAGTCCATGACGTTAATTTGATACTGACTTGTATGATTCAAACGCAAATTTTTGTTAGAATTACTCTAACTGTAACAAATTATTAAAAGGAATTATTTCATAAGCATTATTTAAAAGTTGATTCAATACATGGTAAATTACAACATAATTTTCTAAATTGAAAACTGACTACCTTCTGTCTGGAAGAAAATACATTTTTACATAGGGATTCCTGGGGCGTCCATCTAGTCTTGGTGGCAAATCTGTTGCTTGCAGAACATTTACTATTAACTGATGTCCCACTTTGTCGTACCACAGTTTAACCTACAAGAATCAAGTTACCAGAAAACATTACTGAAAATGGAGAAAACACAGAATTTTCAGACTGCATCACATGAACCTCAATGTAAAAGTAAACATTGTTTTTTTCCAAGAGACAATGAGATATATGTTATTTCAAATCCCTTAATATTTAATTAAGTTAGATGGAAAAGATGATGGTATAAACCAAAGACTTCTGTATTTCCCACAGCTGAATAAAATGGTGGTGCCTGATTATACTTACATCGTTTATTTCACTCTCTGCATAATCTTGTATCTATGTGTGTTTAAACCCACATATGAATTAGCTTTGTGCCTTAAAAGCTATATTTAAATAGGAAGCCCTGACTGCAGCTAAACCTGAAGCATAGTTGAAATCTGTCTACTCTGATTTGTCACCTTCCAAATGTTCTTATGAAAAGTGTAATATACATCTAAATCATTTCTCAAGAGAATCAGAACATAATGAAATTTTTGAGCCTGCTGTATACTTAGAAATTAATATGATCAATATAAAAAACTATAAGAATGTACAAATCAAAGCCTAAGTACTAACAGTATATTTAATAAACACAGCTTCAATTAGTACTACAGACAGTGCCAGGATGTAGTATGTATCTAAATTAAAATGCATTACCAAACAGTGTAACTCTTAACAAATACTCAGCTCTTTAAATGCTCCCATAAAGAAGGTAAAGGGGCACTATGCTTGTTACTGCCTGTTACTGGGCATGTAAAGAGTGACCATCTTCAATGCAGAGGATGGCAAGTTACAAGGCACTTTCATGGGCTCCTCTCAATATAAATTCCTGCACTCCTTGGTGTATTAAGACAACAATTCTTTACCTCTGCTGTGATTAGAGTGATCATTTGTGAATGTGTTCAGAGGGTCCTAAAAAAACATTTGAAAGACGTTAGTCTTTACCAACAGCCAACATTTCTCTTAACCTCCCAATACAGCTTGGGAATGTGGAGGGCTGAGGGACCAGCACTTCATAGATTTTCATTAACGACTCAGGAAAAACAAAATATGCTCACAGAAAGCTGCCCTGGTAGGACTTGTGGTGCATCCCGTAGCACTCCAGGGCTGGTCGGAGATATAACAGAAATAGAAGGCCTTTCCATCTTCTGAGATTCAAAAGAACTTGAACCTAAAAATACATCAGAAACACATGAACTTTCCAAGTCAAATTTTGAAGGTAATTTGGATAACTTATGAATTGTTTTTGCTCTGAACTGTATAAACCTTGTATTTATACACAGTATAACTCGATTAATACATGGAAAGATTTCAAACTGATGTAGACAGCATGGTGAAAAGACTGTCTGGATACCCTTACCCCAGATTAAACGTGCCATTTTTTGTTTTATTTGAAATATTATATTTAAGAATGCTCCTCATACAGCAGTGGCAAACCATAACAAGTTTTTTAAATAAAATATTGTCCTCTGACAGAACTGCACATCTCCCAACTCAAACTATTCTATGATTCTAATAAACCCACATCCATTGTATGGAGTGTACTCCTGGTAGCCTCTGAAATTTTAACTCCCAAGGAACTGACACACAACTATGCAGGACATGCATCTAGCATGGAGGATGCTCCGGTGCCTGCTGGACATCGGCTGTTCTCCACCAGTGAGGCAGAGCCCTCTCTAGGGAGATGAGCTCATGAAAGGTGTAAGGACACTCGGTGGCCCCACAGGACCCTGTCCCAGGGAAGGTTTCTGGTTGCATCTCAGACAAGGCTCAGATGAGAAAGGACTGTGAGCCATGGACCTCACAAACTCTAGCTGAAACAATTTAAATGGGATAGTTAAAAAGAAAATCATTCTTTTGAAGTATGACACACAAAAATTTCACCTAGCCAAAATCTTCTTGTTAAGAAAAAGAGAAACAAGAACTCTGGACCTATACTGGATGGTGCAGGAGGTGAAATCCAGACACCATTTGTACCTTGGCAATACCTTATACCTGTTTTCTCTCTCACGTTAGGGCAAGTACATTACTGTTTTGGGCCACAGTATGTATATGAGTATGGTACTAAGAACAAAAGATACAGAATAAAACAATAAAATCCTGCTAACATTTGAAATCTGTAGAGCTTTTAATCAAATCTATATCGTTTTGAATTTAACACAAAAGATCAAAACCCACTGAATTTTGTCATATAAAAACCTTGGAGTTAATGAAGTCTTACACTGCTCATCTTTCAGAAAATTCATAGTCAAAATGATTGTGCTGGGTACAAGACCATGCTTAGTGAAAGGAACAAGTTGTGTACTCACTAGACTCTAATGGGGGGTGAGAAGTCTCGGGAATCCGTGGAATATCACTAAAATATGAATATACACAGAGTAATTAGAAACAACAGAGATGACCTTCTGCTGTAACAAATACATTTCTGGAACACTTTTTTAGAAATATGGATATGTTTCTGTTCTAATGGGTTACGAGGAAAGAAAGGGGAAATATTTAAAGACATATTTTCCACAAGCAGTCATGAAAATCTTGCTAATGCAAACTACCTTTTTCAAGTTAAAGAACTAGCAGATGTAACAATATGAGCACTAAAATGTTAATATTGTGGATGGATTCCACTATATTTTTAAAACCAGAACAATAATGTTAAAGAGATTTTAGGAAGAGAAAGGTGGCAAAAGGTAGTATAGCTACAGATGTTCCATTATTTTTTGGAGGAAAAAAAATCCAAAAAATAAGACATAGATTAACTCACTAGTAATTTTTATATAAACATCTCAAGGAGTTCACGGAATGAAACTGACGAAAATGTCTTATTATAAAAAGAAAAAAGCAAATAACATTAGCAATGTCAAACAAAGAAAATAATGCATTTCTTCAAAGGCTAAAAAAAACCCCAAACCACCCCATGTTATGATTCCATATGGACATTTATTTTTCAACATACACAAACCCAGCACATATACAGGCAAAGTCAAACTGGTTAGGTCCACACACATCTGTCAAAATTTTGCCATCAACAAATTTACTCTTCCATCAAAATCTGGATGATGCTAGTTCCTGACTCTTCTGTTCTCAGCAATCATTGAAAGTACATTGTGAGAGCAAGAAACAACTGTTATTGTACAAATGTTAGAAAAGGAAAATGGAAACAAAGCTCTTCAGTGAATTACTTGAAAATATTTTCACCTACACAAAATAATCCAAAATTGGAACTACAATAACATTTCTGAAGAACATTTACAAGACTAAGTCTAAAGCTGAGTATTTTAAAGCAATTCATGCATTTATCTGTTCAGTGAAACACTGTCTTTCTGACTTGGAAGTCAATAAAACTAAGACTCTTGGGCATCACTTGCAAATGAGAGACACAAGTCAGAAAAGGTATGTAACAGTGCTCAATCAACTAGTCTTAAATTTGCTTTTCATGTCTTGCAATTTAAACTTCTGGTACGTGGGTTTTTAAAAAGCCTATTTCAGCTCCCAGTTAAAGTCTCACATCAGCTTACATCTCATATCACTTCACAAGAATGTGCTTCTTTTTGCTTTGACTCAGTAATTCAAGAGTAATATAGTTTCCTCAAGCTCATGGAAATATAACTGTATTGTTTATTCTTGACATGGTATAGTACTATTTTGCAAAACAGGTTAACAGTGTGCTGCATAGCAGGGCTGCTGTGCAGACTTCTTCCTCTCAATATTTTCTCCCTTCAATTTTCAGGGCAATTCTCATCAGTCTGAAATATTTACTTAGTATATTCAAAGTTATTTTTCTGTTCAATCCGACATTAAGTTTGCAGTGTTTTCTTGTGCTAGAATATGAACACTCTTGTCTGCAGTATAGCATTGTTTGTAGTAATATTCCATTCAGGATATCTAAACAAGGGCTCATATGTGCAAGGAGTATTTCAACATGGAAAGTGCAACCTACTGTGTCAAGTTACATAATTCCTGGGTGGGTGAGAAAATGGTCGAGTTTATAGTATTTTCCTCACTTAGAGTTGGCAATACAAAAGTCCTTGCCAGGTAAAGGTAAATGACAAAAATAATCAGATCTTTCTCATCAGACAGGAAAGAAGGGAAAGAAAAAAATATTTGTTAATATTTTTTCTAAACCCCTTGTAATTCTTAGAAAATACTGACAGGAACAGTGGAAGCTAGAACAAAAATTTAAACTCCAAACAAAATGCATGGTTTGCAATAGAAATGTTACTTGGCAGCTTTCCCACTCAGCCCTTTCATCCTCACCATATTAGATCTTGTTCACCCTCAGGAAATCTCTAAAACTTTACAGTACAATGGACAGTTTATAGATAGATAGATAGATAGATAGATAGATAGATAGATAGATAGACAGATAGATGTAAAGTGTACGTGTGTGTCTGTGTGTGTATATATATATATATATGTGCTAGGAAATCTTCTCTTCCTTAATATATTTATCTTGTTTAAGTACAGCTCCACACAGAGCTGCAAGACATAAAAAGCAAAGAAACCAATAAATTATGTACGCAATACAGTACTGATCAGCACACTCGTGGCAGAGTATCCTAACAAACTCTGTAACAGTTCTGCTTTCTGTTATTGATTTCAAAATGGAAATGAAATAATTCAATGCTATGACTATGTCCCTACTTAAACGTCTTAAAAATTCAATAATCCACTTGACATCATAATTTCTTAAATATTACATGTTCAAAAGAAAATAACTGGTGTTATGTATCTAGTGACGTGTCCCTACTTAAACTTCTTAAAAATTCAATAATCCACTTGACATAATCATTTCTTAAATATTACATGCTCACAAGAAAATAACTGGTGTTATGTATCTAGTGACTTTATCAAATGTGAGGTTTTTTGGTGTTTGTTTTTTTTTTTTTAACATTGGCATTTTAATTGAGGAAAGAAAATTCTAAAGAAAAACGATAATCTAATCTAGAGCTTGCTAGTTAAGAAAATTAGTCTTACCTAGCCTGCTCTTACAGATTGTAGGAAATATTCTAATACTATGATTTACAAAAAAAGCTCTTCAGAACAAATAGTAGAAATCTCATGACTTACAATATTCAAAACTAGACTAGTCAAAGCAAATGTTAAAAACCAAAGACGTAGCACAATCACTTATTGTAAATAAGAACAAAATTTTGCTTTGCCCTCAGAGCAATGTGAATGTCAGAAAAGTAATGTCAGACACATTCCAGTAAAGAGCTGCTGATAGTAGCCTTTGTCTTTCTATCTCTACCCATCTTACGTCCCATCGTTACATATGACTGTCTTCTGTCTGATCCTTCCACACTCTAACGAATACATAAATTAAACTATACCTTAGGTTGAGGTGCAGATACATGGTTTTTGAGGATCACTGTTTTGTAAAACAGAGGAATAGCTGTAATTTCTGAGGGTTATAGTCAAGATCTTAAACACTGAAGAGAAATCAAATTCAAATGTGGTTGTAACCCACACTTCTTTAGGTTGCTCTAACCAAAGCATCGTCCTCAACACCCTACAGAGTTTTCAGAGTTTCTGAGTACCTGTCCCCAGTGCTCATCCTCCTATTTCCAAAACTGTTTCTTCCCATCTAAATCTGTAGATCGACCTACAGTTTGCACTAGTTACGTTACTTGAGCAATTCTCTGGAATTCAGTACTGCCTGGTTTATGATAGAGGCTCAACCTTCTTACGAGAACCTAGAGCACAGTAGCAGTCCCTGCACAGAGGAGCTGAATCACATCAGAGAAACAACAATTTTGGCAAAATTATCTGTAGAAATCCAAGCAAAGACAGCTAACATCTGATGAAGAAAACAGAGACAAATGAAAAAAAACATTTGTTTTACCTGCAATATTCCTTACAGCTCTCCCGAGCACACAAGATATGGTGAGTTAGTTACCATGCCAGGTTTCTTCTCCAAAAAGCATACTGCCAGAGGATTTTCTATGCTGTCTTACGCTAAATGCCTCTCGCATTGTATTCATATTCATAGGTAGTTCTTCTCCTCATATTTAGATAGCCAACCCATTAATTCTGCTTTTTATACTTTTTTTTTTTTTTTAACTACGTTGTGTTGCAATCATTAGCATCAATTAGTTTCTATGGAGTTTTTAAGGTACTATTGTGGTTATACTGTTTATTGTTGTTACGCCTTCATCTGCTAATAGTGCTACATGTTTCACAATTTTCTCTAATAAACATCCTATAATTATCCATTACTCAAAATTACATTTGCTGGTAGACACAGAAATCCAAATTTACAAGACTGAGCAAATTGTTTAGACATCAATTTTGTAACTGGCAGTGAATCTAATTCATGGGCTTACAGTCCTCCCGCTATTCACTTAAGCCAAACTGTGTCATATTCGGTCTTTTTAGAGCTAATATGCTAGGACTTTTTAAATAGAGTCCATTAAAAGTCCTGGTACATTATCTGCATTATTAATACTGCGAGATGAAAACGCTTAAATTATGCAGACGAAATATCATTTTTCCAGATCTTTTGGGAAACTACTCTCTCACAGGAATTTTACATGTAATGGATTACCACTTAATGCTGTATCAAGCAGCTTCAATTTTGCTGAGTCAGCAACTAAAGTAGACACAAAACTTTGCTACACTAGATTTGTTGGATTAAATAAAATTCCCTGTCATGAAACAATCACATAGTTTGGATAACGTGACAAGGAGAAGCTAGGGGGGAAAAAGGAATCTGTTAATGTAATCAAACAATTTCCCATTATGTAACACAATTACATAGATTATAATTATTTTAAAGAAAAAAGAAAATCCTGTGCAGTATGTTCTTTTTTTGTTAACTTTCATCAAGATTTCTTTTGTTGTACAATGTCTGGTATTTTTTGTTCTTTTAAAATGACAGAGAGGTAAAGCCCAATCTGATACAAAACAACAGGACTTTGACTCATTACTGCTGGAGAAAGGAAATATCTTTAAATTTCAAAGTTTTATATTCTAGTTGCTTTGGGATATTTATTTGTTCTTCTCAAAAGAATGCACTTCACATTCTGTGCCTCAGTTCAACAATTATGGTATTTTCTTTTGATTTTTCTTCAAGAATATGTCCCTGGAATGTGATCACCTTGTACTTCACTTTTTAAAGCTATTAGATTTATCAAATTCATAAGCTAAAATTAAATTGGCTTAACAATGAAGTTACCATAAAAGCTTAAGGATACTCGACATTTACAAATATATTGATAGCAATATATCTAAAGCTCATTATATAGAATATTGATCTAGCACTTTCCGTTTACATCAGTTGTAAAAATCAACTTTGAGGTTTTCTTCGATGGAGATATAAAGTTCAAGTCAGGTTCAGTATAAACATATTTATTTTCTGCTTATTTAAACATAAAAACTAGACTTCCAAAATTCTCCTTATGACATTTTATTTTTAATTAAAAAAATGCAGCATTTAGAGACGTATAATGAGTGCACATAGACTCTCGGAAGTTCTGAAAAACTATAAATTCTTTTTTTAATTAAAAGAAAACTAGACAAGAGTAACTTTCTATTGTTAATCATGTGACTCTGTTCTGCAATATAAATGTGAATTTACAATATGTGATTCATATTCAATCCTGTAAGGCTTAGTTCAAGATGGTCCCAACAGAGTCATGTTCAGGTATGGAGTGTAGAATATCGGTAAAACGATTGTGACAAATGCAGGGCAAACCTCACTGATCTTATCAATTCAAAAAGATTTTATTATCTTTCTAAGGCTGGTTTGGGAAATCAAGAATATAAGAATTGTTACCACAAAATCCCAAACTTGGATTTATAATAAAGACTATAAACATAACATGCTAAAGCTAATTTTTTACAAAATTACCTTCATAATATGAAGGCATTTCGTTTCCACTTTTGATTTTGCTAACAGTATCATTTAGGGGTAAATACAATCTTTTCAATTAAGAGTTTTGTTTTGCCTTTTTTTAGCTCTTTAAAGAAGATCTATTTAAAATCCTACTAGCCTTGACTTACTAAAATCCTGCAATGCTCAATGTTTGCTGATGCTCCTTTCTACTCATGAATACTTGTATAAAGCTATCCTGATTTAATGAAGCTATAAGCCTGAAAAAATAGATTTTTCTCCACTTGATCCACCAGTTTTCCTTTGCCACTTGGCAAAAACCTTGTTAGTACTTTGACCATACAGAAAAAAAAAATTATACTTATAAAAATCACTGCAAAGATCAAAGATTGTAAATAGCAGGGAAGAAAAAGGAATATAAAGAATGTCAATAATAGAAAGTGAATCATATTCCATTATTAAAAGATAAAAAATAATGGACTCACAAATAGTCCCTTTAAAAGTCCCATTAGTAGAAGTAATAACTATGCTTAAGAAGCAAGTCTTTAGGCTTACCCAATAGGCCTTGAAACAATAATTTCAACTTGAGGTTCTGATTTTGATTCTAAAATAATGTTGTAAACTTCTTCATTTGTAGCTCCAGGCAAGGGTTTACCATTCCATTCTAGAACTTCATCCCCTTGAATTTAAAGAGAAGTTTATCTCATTTCCACATTCTCTTCTAAAGAAGTGCAAAACATTTATGAAATCTATATAGCCAAGTAACATTGCCTGAAATCAATTAAAAAGCTGTGATGAAAACCAAAAAATGGTTTTTGAAACTCTATCAAAGTTCCTTTCTGAGAACACAGCTACAATTTGTACGCATAAAACATATTAAAGAAATCACTTATGCAAACATATTAAGTATTTCCAAAATAATACAGCACCTGTTATTGTGCTATGAAATTAAAGAGTCTTTCTAAAAGATACATTAACTAGCAGCAATAACATTTGAAAACAGATTAATCTTCAAAACCAAAAAACATAAATACCTACTGTTAAGCCCCTAAAAGTCATGACATTTTATTACAATTTAAATACAGTGCATTTTGATTTCTCTACAAAAAGAGCAATCCCACTGTCTGTTTCAAATGAACCAAAAATAAAAGCAAGGAGTGAATCACTGTCTCCTGATGATGTCAGGAGAGACAGAAAGGAAACCATGATAAGAACGTTATTTAGATAACTTACTTTTTACAGTTTGCCATTTCTGAATTTTAAATATTATCTACATAGCATTGTACTTTGGTATTATTATCAAAAGGTGAAAATCTTGAAGTACAGTTTGTAAAGAAAGATTGTATATACAGTTAAACTGCAAGAACTATAGGGTATATTGACACTCCCATACCCCATCATATGCAGCAGTCAAAACTTCACAACCACTATTTGATGCCACAAATAACTTTCTTAATTGACAATAATTTCTTGTTAATCAGATTCAGTCAGGAACAACCCTCTGCTGCTGGCTTTGCTCCTTTCTGAGAAGATCTAAGCCAAATCATCAATCTTGTGCTTGTTAATAAGCCAAGGAAAACTATGCTAAGTGAAGTTCTATATACCAAAACATATGGCTTCAATTTCTCTTGACATTCAGTGATTGTCAGTCCTTTTCTCCAAAGAGTCCATATTTTAAGAAAAGACTCCACAGGCTTTCAAAGCATTTTGGCATTCTTTAAAACGTAAGGGCTTGCTAATGACAGATTTCACAAATGCTTGCTGACATAAGTTTCATTTTCTACCACGTTGTTTAGCTGAAATGGTTGGGGGTTTTTTTGACATTCCTAAAAAAAACAAAAAAAAAAACCCAAAAAACCCAAATGCCAAAACAAAGTATGACATTTTTAGAGACTCATCATCTTTATTTATGACTATTTACTTAATGCAATTAATCCCGAATTCATACAAGTTGTCATCAGACCTTCTAGATTCCTAAGAAAGCATTGCATAGACTTTGGTTTGCTAAGAAAACACTTGGAAAGTAGTTGCTTAGAGCCATGGTAAAAATATAAACCATTAACAAGTAATTTTGGAAAACAACTGCTGTGCATAGTTCTTGCTTCATTTAGAAGCTTGAAAAGTGCTAACAGCACAGCCATTTATTTGTAAGTGCAGTATATATATCTTATATAAATAAAATATTTTAAGATCAAGTTCTTGAGTGATTTTCCATTTTCACTTGTAACAATTCACATTGAAAGAAGCACAAATAAAGTCCACTGTGTACACAGTGCATCATCCTTCAGTTGACACTATAGGGTAAGTAAAGTAACTGTACTGAGTTTTGTTTGCCACAATTTTCCAGTTTTTAAAAATGTTTACATTGCCTCTATAGAGTGTAACACGCAGCTCCTGAGCTTAGCAAGCAAAACTTTACCAGTGGCACTCAGTCCTGACACCAGCACTGATAAGGAGCATCTTGTATTTTGCCCATTTCAGCCAGGCAATTGGAGCTCATAATAGATTAGAAATGTAAGCAACTGTGGCATTCCACAATGACTGTTTAGTATTGTCTCATATTTAAAAAATATTAGCATATCACATGACCAATGTTAATATAAATTAAGAGCTGCATTACAAAAAGCCGTAAGTAAAAGACAACATATTTTGAATGCAACTGATTGACTTACCTGCTCTGAGATGCCCCACCACATCAGCCAAGCTACCTTTCTTCACTTTGGTAATAAAGGCACCGAGTCGTCCTAATTCTGTCATTTTTCCTCCAACAACCTGGTTAATCATAAATTTGTGAGTTTCCAAGCCACAAACCAGACATCATATCGAACACAAATATATAGACAGATCAGTTTTCACATTACTTTTAAAATTAAACTTAAAATATGCATAAGTAAATTTATTGTCAATTTGGGCTTTACAGAGGTTTAAAGATAAAATTAAAGATACAAAAATGCCAGATCTACTTGAAAAGAAGTAAAGCTGAAACAGAATGAATAACATTAACATTCCTTTTAATGTGTTTGACTAATCAATCTTATGCAGTTTGTTAAGTATTAAATTTGTTCCAGAAAGAACATTTCTTTATTAAAACAAAACAAGATAATGTACTTTTTGCAAATAGGTATCGGTCATGTTCTTGAGTTGAAATTGCAAGTGCACATCAAACTAAACAAATGAAAATCTCAAAAGACAATTGGTACAAGTAAAAACTTAGTAAATACACTACTATGAAACATGGGCAAACAGTTCATAAGAACATCACTACTGCTAAAACCCAGAACCACTCATCCAAGCACAGGAGAAAACAGCAACTTCTGGATTTTTTTTAAACAGAACTGAAGAGAGCTCTTTTTGAAGACAACTGCATGACAGAGAGATCAGGAAAATCAGAAAAAAAGGTGCGCTCAAGAGATCAGATTTTGCATAAAAAATAAAACAAGAAAACGTAGTCTTGTCAACTGGCTACTATTCTCTATCTTACTCTCTCAAGTCAGGTTTTTTTGTCAGGAATATCCTGGGATGAGTTTTATAACAAAACCAAACAGTAGAATGTTGCTTCATTAAGTATGATTCTCCCATGTTGCAACCACAATAACTGGTAGAACTTTTAATACAGATATATGTCCAAGAAGATTCAGAAGTCTACCTGCCAACAAGGTTGTCACAAGACAATGTGTTAAATTTATCAGTAGGGGCCTTAGTTCACAACACACTAAAATGAAACTTGAAACATCAAATAGAAGCTTTCCAATCTATATTTCCTACTAGGATCGACCTTTTTTCTCACATATTAAAAAGATTGCTTGCTGTCAGCAAAAATCAGCCTTGTGCTACAGATTACTAGACATTTAGTAGAGTTAAGCTGTTCTCATCTGTATTTCCATGCCACGCTATCTCAGTTCAAGTTGGATAAATGGCATTTAACCAGGACATGACATTACCAAGTTCACAAGGTTCTTTCCTGATTTAATTCCCACCATGATGAGGAGAATCGACAACCCACATCTCCATCACATGCAAGGGACTGAACTATCAGACAACCATATGCATGGAGTGGTTCAGTGTCAGTGTCCTTTGAAGCAGACTCAGTCCTAAGTGGATGGGAAAGTTTCATATTTTGCATTGTTCCTGTTGTTCTCAGTAGAGAGAGGAAGACATCAAAATTAAATTCTCTCAGTCACCTTTGGAGTTCCATATAGTTAAAAACACACATGGAGAGAGAAATTCTTGAACTGATGCACTGTACTCCCCACCAGCTTCAAGAATAGTGCTTGCTCTCTTTTAAGTGTTCCAGGAATTTAGGGACACAAACCTAAAAGTTCACTACAAATGACTCATTTAAGGATTTAAATCAACTGGATAGTGCTGACAATGTCTTAATTTTGGGGCACTGGATTAACTGGGATTACATTTAATATAATTTCTACTATTTAAAAGGAGGTTTTTGTAGATTTTTGTGTAAATGTTTAGTTTCATTCTACAAAATTTCTGTTTCCGAATGGCTGTGTAGATTTTACACTGATCTTGTAAATATTTGCATCCAGATGACATTTATGTGTGTGGATTATGAGATGAATTACTTGACTGAACTGCAAACAGCAGAGCTAGAAAAGGCAGGACTTCATTAGTGCATTGCAATGTGCAGTGTATGTCTTGCAGACAGGAAGCTGAATAAACATACACTTTTTAATCAAAATGGTTCAGCTGCTTTGCCATGGATGAGTGAAAGACTGCAAAGAAAGATAATTTATCTGTATAACTTTCAAAACTTACTAAAAATGAGGAATATATTTTTTACAATACACAATTGGAGACTCCTCTGATTTGATGTGTTAGACTTCTAGGTCTAAGGTCAGTGGAAATTTCTTTCACTTACCACATAAACCATGTAATACTTACTTTTAGCCCCAGTAATGCACCTGATTCTTTTGGCATGGTTGTTCTCTTGTTAAGAATAACACGCCCAATTAAGCGATCTCCCTCTTTAGAAGGCTGCCACGTTACTGGATGCTGTTAAAAAAACAAGCAGTGGAATTAAAGAAGCGCAATCATTGTCCCATATTTAGATGCACATTTATAAAACAGTAGCATTTCTGGATCGTTATGTCATGGTAGACACAAACATCCTTCAGATGTGTTACATATTGCACTCAAGCTTTCTATTATTATATTTATTGGACTCTAGCTTCATTAAATATTTTTGCCCACTATTAAAAAAAAAAAAAAATCTCAGCACTAAGTCTGCAGGTGAAATTATAATACAATTTCAGTTCAATACAACTAAACATTTAAAACATACCTTAGGTAATAAAATTAAAAATTTACTTTTAGATTCCATAACCCTGAAAAGTGCATTCATAAATTCTGTTCTTTAGGATAATATACATGTTATACAGCTCTATCATATGAGTTCACTATATAATAAAAATCCAAATTATCCTTTCCCACTACAAGTCAATAGAAAAAGTCACTGATCTCCCAGAGCAGTATCACACTCACAGATGCTCTTGTGGTGTGTAGTGAAATCTAGTATCATGTCTATAAAAGAATTAAATTGAAGTTAAAATTCAGGCAATTTTACTAGTATACATTTTGATGAAAATTTCTTTCTGATTTCAATTTCCATGATCCACTAAATCAAATTTTCATCTAATTAGCATAGAACAATTTTTTACAACAGAATATCTACACTAAACTGAAATAATCAGCAAATATTTTAATTCACACTTATGAACCTCTTTTTCTGGATTTCTTACCGAACTAATAGGGGATGTCTCCCTGCTGTGCCACGTGGCAGGATCTAGCCAGTAATAATCCAAGTCACCTGGAAGAATAGGAATAGAAAGAAATGTGTAATCTCTCAAAAAGAGAAAGATGTCTGAATGCTTACTTCTGCATGCATGAATTTTAATGTGCAATAATTTGATGAAGCAAATGCAAAGCCTGTATTATGCTTCAAATTAATTTATATAAATTTGAAAACAATATAACCTAATAATATAAAAGCAAAAACACTTCGTAATGCCTTTATTTGGACCTCTGCTTTTTCATGAATTGCACCTCAGAATTGGTTGTGCACTCTGGTTCTTTTTGACTTTGCTCAGTCATCTTCCAATAACAGACCCCAATGCATCCCATTCACAGCCCTCCTCCTCCCCCCATCTCCATAACAAACACACAGGACTACAGCTAACGATGACATGGAGTAAGATGACATACTCCACAAAATAGACACTTAGCTATAGTTAAGGACAGAACAGTCAACCACACTCAAGGATCTCCCAAGTAGTTGATGAATACTGTGACAACGGGTACTGTACAGTCAGAGAGGCACAGGGGCTGGTAAAGGGTAATAGAGCACCAGCCAAAACAGCCACACAAATAGAGTAAACAGTTCCAACAGCAGATAAAGGCTGCAATCTTTCATTTTGCTTGGGACAAACTTATATACAATGTACATTAAGAAAAAATCCATGAATTTCAATATGGAAGCCACAAGCCCATCAGGCCAAGGAAGGAAACCATGGGTACGGTTTGGGAGAAAAGGCAGCAGGGTGTAACACCACAGAGATTACATATGAATTTATGGAAAGCCAAGGAAACTTCAGTTTAACTTCACATATTACACCTGTAGAAGGCTGAGGTAGTAGCAAAAAACTGCCAACTTCACCAGCAGTTCTCTGTGACAAAGGACTGACGTAACTGTGCACTCCAAGAAGGAAAAGGATGGGGAAAGAATTGCAATAGGAAGAATAAAAGGCATTGCAATTCAGAATGCAATTTTCTTTACAAAGAGGAAGGGTGCAGGTGATATTGGGAAGGACATAGGAGAATGATACAGGGTAGAATAGATCCAACAGAAGGATAAATGTGAGACTGATACAGCAGGAACAAGTCTGAAGTAATTTCTCTGCTAGTGCTAGTTTTAAACAGAATATATCTGTGAGCTCTGAACCTTCATGTTATTTCACTCCTTTGGGCATTGCCACAGCATGTTAACAAAAATGCAATAGTGTCATTAGAAATGAGAACGACAACTCTTTCTAATGCTCTCTTGCAACGACAGTAGTATATAAAAGCTTGATCTGAAATAACCAAGAAGTATTTTTTACTTTTATCTGAGAAAAAGTAGATGATTCTGCCATTTAACTTACAATGCCTATAAACACACAAACAAATGAAAACTGCATCAAACCAAAATCTAAACTATGACTTCAGAGCTTAGTTTTAGATCCTGAAGGAAACACAGTCACCTCTCACTGAGGTGACTGTTATCCACACCTGCACTCCAGGCATTTTTCACCCTCACTTAGGCAGTGAACCTTGGTCATCTGAAATATGTTAGTGGAACAGTTCAATAATACTGCTTTTTGAATCTACAAGTGATTTTTTTTTTTTTAAGTCTTTAAATTATTATATCCCAGAGTTAGTTTTCATTATGGAACAACTCTTCACACACTTTTCTAACAACATTACTACAAATTCTTTACCAATCATTCAAAAGCTACTGGGTAAAAAACCTACTTTATCATTAAAAGCAGATACTTATTGCCAGTACCCTCTGCACTCTTGAGATGCTCCATGTCTTCAGAAGGTGTATTTTATTTATTATGTACACTTCAGGCAATATATCTTCACTATCTTATTTTAGAAAACATATCTCTATAATACTACTGTTAGATGACTACTCTTACTAGCACACAGGCATCCAATAGAAGCCCAAAACAAAGCATGCATCTTGCAAGAAAAAAAAAAAAATCTATCTATTTACATGAAGAGTTTATTATTAAAAACTCTTTTTCCACAAATATTTAGATACTGATTATGAAATACACGTTGTACCACTTTTTATAATCCATACAATCTTTAATGGCTTACCACCTACATGACCATATGCACAAGCCTATTTTTAAACAGGTTATTATTATCATATGCATAATCACACAAAGCAGTTTGAGGTTGCATTAGCTACTGCAGTTCTACCATTTTGGAGAGCTTAACTTCATATTAAAGATCTTTCAGTTCTATTTTTAGCATCATTCCTTGCACCTTTATAGACTTCAAAACTGCAACAAGAACAACAAATTCACGAACCAGACCATCACCCCTAGTGTTGGCAGTAAGCTGGGATTTGTGGCACAGAGCTCTCCAGTTCTCAGTAACAGACTCAACAGTAACAGCAAAAAGCAACTCTCTCCTGTGTGAGCTGACCTGCCACAGGCAAAACCCAACACGCTTTGCCTCCATGTTTCACAGCTATTAGCTCAGCAGTAGAGAAAGGTTCAGGCAGGAAGAAATGTCAGTTCCAGCATACAGAGGTGTGTGTCCAAGCACTCACATTTCTGCTCTTGCCTCCATTGCTCACTGCTCTCCTTTCTTCCTGTCCCAGCTTCAGCTTCTAGGTCCAAGTTACCTTCCTCCTGGTTATTGCATACCTGTGACCACTTGATTCATGCATCTAGCATGCTGCCCCACCAAGCTCCTGCAGTAGCAAGATCCTCTCACATGTCTTCTGCCTTGGCTCTTACATGCTAATCTTCCCTCCTAACCAAATACTTACCCTTTGCTGCCTTTCTTCCCTGTCCATTTTGTTGACATCATCCATCTTCTGCCTCCTTCTCCTCCTGGCTTTGGTGTCCCCTCTTTAGGTTGTGTATCTTAAACGCTCCTTCCCCTCACTACTAAGCTACATCCTTACAATCCCCTCCTCCCCACACATAAGACACTGCCTTTCTGTACCTTTCACCCTTCCTGTCTCTTCTACACTTTGGTAAATTCAAAGCCACTAGCTACGTCCACCGCAGACGGCCACAGCCATGGTTCTTTTGCCTTCTGCTCCCAGAAACCGAGGGCAGGAACTACACTGCAAACGCAGCTGTACTGAGCTGGAGCATAGGTGATACACTGGGAATGCATAAAGGTAGCTTTCAAATAAAAATTCTTGACTGAAAGTGATAGGTCTACAATTTGGTGAATATTTTAAAAGCTGCAAAAACACATGAATTAAGGAGGAAAAAAAGTCTACATTCTTTAAAAAATGACACTCATAGAATAGAACATACAAATTAAAACATAAAGGAACAAAATCCCTAATGAACATAAAAAATATTTTATGCCAGCAACACTGACACTAGGCTCTTGATATCTGCAGTTAAGCACTTTGTTACAGCTATACTTAAAAAAATAATTTCTCCCTAATCATCCGATGTCTTTACTCAATTCTTATTTATGCCATTCTTGCTCTGCCATACCCCAGAACTATTTGTTTAATTACAGAAAATAGTTTCACTGAAATAGTGTAACAGAGATAGAGATATAGGTAAATAAAGTAAATAACATGCAAAAACTTACAGTCTAAGAGTATAGTTTCAGCATTTCAGATTTTCTCAAAAAAAAAACCCAAAAAAACCCATCAAAACTTAAAACCAAAAAGCCCTGTACACAGAGTGCTCTCTCCAATGGTAAAAGTAATTAAAAATAAATAGAAAAATAAGACAAATTTAAGACATTATTGAGAGGAAAAAAACCCAACTTTTCTAAGGAAGAAATGATTGATTTACAGGCTTAAACTTCTTTTAAACACTTTTAAAACAATGCTTTAAATTTAAAAACATGAAAAACTTAAAAATAAGCCCTTATGAAAATACTGTACATATACTGTACCATTACTTTTGTACATTACTGATATATTTCTAAAACATGAAAAATGTATTTCAACTTAGAGCATATAATTAAAAATGCATTTTCAATTATAATGCATGGCTTAAGACCAAGAGAGTGAAACAAATATATATTTATAAAACCTTTTATCCCAAGGGAATAATTCAAAAGTTGTATCCTGATAGCAATATTTTTCCTATTAACATGCTGCTGGTCGATTATTTTACTCTTGGTCACAGATGGATACAATCATAAATCTACTTTAGAAGACACAAATGTGTTGTGTTTTTTTTCTGTGAGAAGCCTTTTGCAGTCTTCAAATTTCAAGAAAGGGAGTAAAACTAATAAATTGTCAACGTTTTCCTATCTGCAACATGCGTGCCTTCAAAATAAAGGAAAAGCAAAAATCACACCACCAAAAAAACATTTTCTCTAAAATACTTCAGCAGCACTACCCATACCAGAAGCTACTGCTGGGATACTGCGATTTCGAGTGAAATCCTGCAAAGCTGAGAAGTGCTGGAAATGACAGCCCAGTCTCTCTTGCAAAGCAAAACAAGCACAAAACACAAGAAAGCCCGTTATTCTGTATAACCAGTCGTGCTGCTTTCCAGAGTCTTGAATACCGGAGATATATTACCCTAAGATGTTTCCCCAAATCCACCCAGACCATATTCGGAGACTACTGATACTCAGCAAAGAATGCGCTTCTGGTGTTTCACTCAAGTCCAGATGCAGGAGATCTGCAGCAGTTACTTAAGACAAGAAGCAGACAGTCTAATGATAAGAGTCAGTCAGCCCATGTTAAGCACTTAATTGAGCCTAACATGTAGCTGCTAATTAATAAAATAGTTCTATCATGTAACCATGAAACTTAGACAATTATTTTCAGAGACTGCATCTAAAATAAGGTACAAACTGGCTTCCTATACAGTCGGACTAGATCCCTCTAATTAACACATGCAACAGACATTTATGTATTTAGCTTTATTAATTTTTAGGGTCAAATATAGCCTGCATTAAAAAGACAATAAAGCTTATCAAAGACCTGGAACATCTTCTGTTACGTCTTCCACAGTTCCCATGGAACTGGATCAGTATCTCATGGAAATGATCCATTGTTTCCCAAGGTAAAAATCAATAGAAGCCACATATCAATCTATA